GGGCTTGATGTCGCGGATTTCTTGTCAATCTTGGCATGTGGCAGCAATAACGAATGAAGGTTATCCGAACTGGGTGGATTTTTATGGGGCAAGAAATGGGGGAGCGCATGTGCATTTCAATTTGCATGGAACTCACGTGCATCGGGTTACCATTGCCGTTGCCGTGGTGCGTTTAGGCGATCGGTGTTATTATCATCTGCTTTGGGGTTTTTTATCATTTAATTTTTTTCCGGACAAGGTAATGTTAAACATTAGAAACTTTGACAAAAATTACCCATATATTAAACTGACAACTTTTCATGCAATGTTACTTGGGTTGACGTTTCTTTTGCGGTTCAGTATATTATCAAAAGGGTTTCTAAACAGGATTGCGCTAAGTGTTTTAAGAGTTGATAATGTTTATTATCAGACTCTGTAGCAGTATCATGATCATGCGCTTGCCCAAGGGCAGAATGAAGCTCGTGAATGGAAAAGATTTCATTGTAAACTGACAAGTCTAGACAAGAGTAATTGCAACTTGCAGGATGTAGATGTGTATGAGAACCATCATTAAACATGCACAAATCGTAATCCGCAAGTAATTTTCCAATTTAGTCGCCTTTTACGACCAGCAATGGGGTGCTGAGGACACATTCTACTCCGGGTCCACACGGGGGAAGAGCGCTAAGCATATCCTAGCACTCACCACGTGGAGGTTGCTCTTCATGAGTGCCGGTAGTGCAAAGAGTGAGACGGTGAGTTGGGATTAATGCCGGGTTGAACAGTATTCCTGCGATATCATAGCGTGTCAGTTTGATGTTGAATGAAAACCCTAAGAGATGCAGGTCTCGGACGTTTACCACTTTGGTGAAACCCACAAGCACGGGTATGGTGCTGACAAACCTAGAAACATTATCGGGCGACCGGGGATTCGAACCCACGAACACCGGTTTCTGGTTTTCCCAAGAGTCGCAACACAGTAAACTACGGCGTCTTAGACGACTGGGCCACGCGTGGCCCCTCGTGTGAAAAAGTAATTCTTCATCTTTGTCACAATGATGGCAGTATATTTGATAGTTCAGTGTTCAAATATCATTATTTCCCCTACCATGTGTTGAATGGCGTTCCTAGGATCTATCGCGTTGATAACATACGCTGCTAAGTGAAATTAAATATGTATCCATTCTCAAACACTGTGTAGTCACATTACAACTACACACAAGTGAGAATATTATGCTTTACGCGAACACCTGGTGTCATTACTGATTTTCAGTGTTCTATTGATATGATTTTCATCACCTAGTTTGCCTATTACGCCCAATGGATTCTGTCTCGGTTGATAATCGAGACTGGTTATTTTCTGGGGTTGAAGTTTCGTATTTTCTGAATCAGCAAACACGTATATATATTTCAGATCATCATTACAATTTTCCATAGTTTTGGTGTTTCTCCTTTGAATGTATTTAAAGAACACGCCTTCATTCGCATTCAATAAAAAAGGGTGTTTTTCTTTTCTTTTCAGTGTTTACTAAAGGATCAGGTGTGTGTAAGAAAATGTCGAATGATACCACAGATGATATTCATACCCAGTCATCATGTCTGAGGATAATTGGTGCATGTGGATACGTGAGGTTCGTTATTTCTCGTCATGTCGTGCTTCAGGGGGCTGTGACATATTGCTATTATATAGTCTATTATATAATCCACGACAACGCCGTCCTGTTTATTAAGCATCGCCGGCGGTGTGACGATTGCAGTATTGATTGATGCCGAGTGTTGCAGCATGTGACGGTGACACAGGTGATACAGCCATAGAGGTGATGTAAAATGGGGTTTAACGTCGCGTTCATGATTATTGCACTTATATAGCGAAGTTCAGCCATACAGGTGATGTGAAATGGGGTTTAACGTCACGTTCAAGATTATTGCACTTATATAGTAACGTTTAGCTGTACAGGTAAGATGAAATGGGGGTTTGACGTCGCGTTCATGATTATTGCACTTATATAGCGACGTTCAGCATTTTTTTAGGTAAGGTGAAATGGGGGTTAACGTCGCGTTCAAGATTATTTCACTAATATATCGACGTTTAGCATTTTTTTAAAGGGAACGTGAAATGGGGTTTAACGTCGCGTTCAAGATTATTTCTCTTATATATCGACGTTTAGCCTTTTTTAGGTAAGGTGAAATGGGGGTTAACGTCGCGTTCAAGATTATTTCACTAATATATCGACGTTTAGCATTTTTTTAAAGGGAACGTGAAATGGGGTTTAACGTCGCGTTCAAGATTATTTCTCTTATATATCGACGTTTAGCCTTTTTTAGGTAAGGTGAAATTGGGTTTAACGTCGCGTTCAAGATTATTTCTCTTATTTATCGACGTTTAGCATTTTCTTAGGTAAGGTGAAATTGGGTTTAACGTCGCGTTCAAGATTATTTCTTTTATATAGCGCCATACAGAGGACACTGGCAATGTACATATCAAGTGACACGTTCAATGAACTGTCCATTTAATGTAACTAACATGTCTACATTCAATTTGTTTGTTTTTTGTAATTTGTAGTGACGAGTGGCTTGTAAACACCGTAGGCGTTTTTCTTCTATGTGTAATATGACGACTTTCAGAGATTATCAGATACCTTGTCTGATACCTTGCGCGTGTCTGTGCGTTAATATGTTCCAAATAACCCATTAAATATTATATTTTTAATTGCAAAATTTGTAATTTATAAACAAATGAGAAAGAAATCAATTCCACATTTTAAACAAGTAAAGTGGGAAATAATTAAATATTATGAAGCTACAAGATCTATTGCTTTCTCAAATTGTAAACAAGCTAAATTTTTCTCTTTTTGGTCTTCATTCCACACATTATTAAAAAATACCAAGATATGATTTAATACTACAATTTGTCTGCTATTCTGTATAGAAACCTTATATATAGATCTACCAGATGTACCAGAGAAACAAACTACTGAATGTACAAGGCGATTTGAATATATACCATGCTGATCTTAATGTAATATGTTCCATGTATACTTTGTATTTGAAATGATGGGAATTAAAAAATAAAAAAAAAATAATAAAAATGTTCCAAATAATGTAATGAAATAGCAATTGTATCCTCTGCTCAACCTTTTTTCCTGTAACTTCTTTGATAGGTATTTAGAAGTTGGAGTACTAAGTAAGGATAAGAATTTATGGATGAACAACTTCTTTATTACAATTAAGAGCGACGTTTCGGTGTAGGTTTTAACACCGTTATCAAGCAAGTGATTTACAGAGTGTAGTAGGCAAGTATATATACAAGTAGGAGGCAATGTTTATACAGTAGAGTAGATATTGTTATACTGGGGTAGAGAAGCCTGTTGTGTACACACAAGGGTAGTGATAACAATCATCGGTGAGGTCAGTGATGTAAACAACGGGATTATGACTGATTGGGGTCTTTGATGAGTTGATGGTACGCCGGGGGTATGTAATAGCCTACTACACTCTGTAAATCACTTGCTTGATAACGGTGTTAGAACCTACACCGAAACGTCGCTCTTAATTGTAATAAAGAAGTTGTTCATCCATAAATTCTTATCCTTACTATTTTCCTGTGTTTCTTTGTTGAAGTTCGATTAAGTCAAAATCAAAAAGTAAAATTACTTCAACAAATCCTGCAAAAATCAGCAGCAGCTCACTCGATACATGACCCATGAAGATCCCGGGTTCGAATTGTTCTTCAGCAACGCATGTATGTCGTAAAAGCAGACCAACGGGCTCGCTGACTTGGTTGATGCATATCATTGTATCCCAATTGCGTGGATCGATGCTCATAATGTCAATCACTTGATTGCCTGGTCCAAACTCGATTATTTACAGACCGCCGTCATAAAGCTGGAATTTTTTTTTGAGTGCGGCGTTCAACAACCATCTCACAAACATTATGGCATAACAGGTCATCGGTGCGAGATCTCAATCCATGCGACTATTGGAAATGTACGAAGCCGGATTGCTAAGCCGTTTACAGGATTCCAAGACAAGAGGGTCGATTAAAGATATCCATTTCTATCGATTTAGAAAGTGTGTTGGAAGAAATGTCTAGATATATGAACTTCTATTAGTTAAGTTACAATAAAGTTTGGTGAACAACGCACAGCGCTAGTGTTCGATTTTTGTCGAGGATATGAATACCTACCTTTACGTTGAAAACTGACGTTCATGTGCAACTAATCGATAGCACTTTGAGTGCTTTGAGTTAATGAGCTTCCACGATGTCTTAGATGGTGCAAATGATGTCAATATTAGTTTATGATTAGACTCTTCAGTATGGAATACTGTAAGGGACATTCTCGCGATCTCGCATTCTCGCGATCTCGACCTTTGGAAACGAGGTAAATATGCCCAAAACACGAGAATCGCGAGAATGCGAGATCGCGAGAATGTCCCTTACAGTATTCCATACTTCAGTGACTGCTATTCTTATTCATAGCCACAACATATTCTTCAGTATTGAAATCAATCAATATTTAACCATTGTTAAAGGAGCGACATACATGTAGGTACTTAAAACATGTACGTTGGTCTTGTTTGTTTTTGTGGCAGTGGAAAAGACGATGGGGATAACGACGCACCATTTGGAGAACAAAGGATGAGAAGAAAACAAGCCTACTTTCAAACAACTGTACCGTTATATCCCGATATCCTGTGACGCGTCCTCTAGTTTTCTTAGGGCCCAGTAAACATTGGAGTTTTACGAATAGCACATCCGTCCAAATCGTGAACAGTTCGCGCATTAGGCATGTTTCCGTTCCCTCTCAAACCCACGACGCAATCGTCGATGTAAATCATGAGATACACAGATGAGTAGGTGGAGTGGTTACAGTATATAATCATGATGTATTTATACTACAAATGTCACATATGTCAAACATGTTTATCACCGGCTTTATCTGTACAATTAGAAGTCGATGGATTTTTCCAATGAAACACAACACTAGGAGCCGTCACCACCAACAACCGATGCTCAGAAACCACCCAGAGACAGAACCACGATGAGACCAACAGTGAATCTACTGGTCGCTCTGTGTTATATATCCCTACAAGGTATGTGACCATTTTCACGTTTTGGACAAAATTGATTTCATGTGGAATATAAATAGTGTGTATTTCTTTACAACAGTATTGCAGATGAACATTAAGTATCTACACAAGGTTTAGAAGGTAACCTTATATGTTTTATCAAATTGATACAGATTAAAGTGACATAGCGTACGCTGATGTGTTGTTACCAATTAAAAACGGTGCACGTTACGTTAAAGATAATAGTAATAAATATTCGAAAATACTGTCCCAAGCGCGAGTCGAGTCGAGTTCTTTAAACTCATCCCTACTTTATCAAATTTAAAGTACATTCTACTTTCAGACAAAAATATATTTCTTGGAGAAAACTTAAAATATAAAACACAACTTTTTGTATTTAGTCTGAGTGTGTAGGTGGCGGTGGGGTAACCTAGAAGTTTATGCGATCGCGCGTCACGCCGGGCGCCCGGGTTCGATTCCCTTCAACGTGTGAAACCCATTTATGTTGTTCCACGCAGAGATTTAAGTTGAATAATAAAAGCGGCGTAAAACTCAACTCATTTAGTGATCTTTGCGTGATAAACGAAGAATATGTTGCACCTGATGCACCTGCACCAAGCTCCGTTGCTAATCTTTACACTGCAGGGTACAAGCCTTTCTACAGTTTCTTTGGGTCCTGATGAAGCCAGTTTGTATCAATCCTTGCACATTTTGAAAACATGCTGACGGCGACAACAGGGAATCTAGGAACCTGGTGTGCTTTTTTCCGTTTCTGTTTTGTTTTTGAGTTTTCCTCATGAAATGTTTCTCTAATTCCTTCAACTAATATCTCACAATGTGACACAAAATTATGCATAATATTTTCTTAACTTTTGAGGATAATACAAATATTTGAAAAATATGCAAGGGTTTAGTGTTTTTCCGACAAAATTTGAAATCATTCACTTGAGTGTCAAATGTATAAAGATTCTGTCAAGTGGATATTAGTTAAAATATCGTTTTAAGATAACGTGTGCATAAACAACTAACCTTGATTCGTTAAAAAATGGAGATAATAAACAATAGAGTGACGTCACAGATGTTCACTTTGCTGCTTTCCGAAAATAGAATAAACAGAAAATTGTCACTGGGTATATACTGCGCCTCATTTTTTATGCGCATTTAATAAGGGTTAAAATGCGTCGCATTTCAAATTCCAGTTGCAATTCAGTTGTATCTGGTATTAACTGTTATAAAACTCTGACCGTTACTTGTCAGGTATTGCACGTGCATGGGCGAAACTGCTGGACACGTTCAGGCGTTTGGCTTGGGGAGCTTTTTTCTATTACGTTCAATCGTGCACATTTCTTCATTTTCAAAAGTCGATTTAATGGTCATACCTAGGCGACCTTCAATAACGGCCTGCTTGGGAAGTAAACCTGCGACTTTATAACTGGTTCTCATCCATGTCACCATCATCAGTGGAGAATGTTTAAATAGCTTCACTCTATAGGATTTCTAACAGGGCGAAAGGGGAATTGCCACGCTGACCCCTCCGAGCACTCTTTTTAGCGTCTCTTTTGTATGTTCGTATTAATATGAGCCTTCAGCAGCAATCAAAATACATGTCAAAAGCTTCCACATCAGTGACACTACATTTGTCGTGCAGCAAGACGCTGTTCGCATGTTATAATACATATCTTGTTTTGCATGGAGTGAGTGAGTATTCCAGCAATATCACGGCGGGGACACATGAAATGGGCTTGACACATTGTACCCGTGTCGGGAATCGAACCCGGGTCTTCGGCGTGACGAGCGACCACTTAAACCAATGGGCTACCCGACCGCCCTTGTTTTATATGGAAGGAGCACATAATAATACTGCACATTTTAAGCGTCTCTTTTATAGGTTCGTATTAATATTAGCAGCAATCAAAATACATGTCGAAAGCTTCAACATCAATGACATTACATTTGTGGTGCAGCAAGACGCTGTTCGCGTGTTAAAATGCATATCTTGTTTTGTACGGAGTGAGTGAGTATTCCAGCAATAACGCAGGGGGACACCAGAAATGGGCTCACACATTGTACCCATGTCGGGAATCGAACCCGGATCTTCGGTGTGACGAGCGAACACTTTAACCACTAGGCTGGATTTTTTTATTGAAGGAGCATTAGACAAAATTCCCAAATTTACCAAAATGCAACTTGCAATATATAATTGTACGAACGTCTCTAGAAAATGCCACATGTGGTATATTACCAGAAGGTTTGAGAACGTTTCAAGTGATTCATTGGACACCGTGTCATCTTGTCTCAAACATTAGCTTTTGTAGTTTGGTTTTATTTTGACACAAAAACACCATGCCACATCTTAACTCGGGACAACCCCATGAGGTTAATCGGTCTTATTGAAACTGGAGGGAGACTGTCTAGAGTTGCCAGACACTTTGGTATCCATCCATCCACAATTTACAGGCTTCAGGAACGTCATCAGTTGATGCAGATGATCGGCCGACTGCGATTGACGTCAGATAGACAAGATCGGAACATAGTGACGTCCCATCGACGCGATAGATTCCTACGTGCAACCACATCTGCTCGAATGACGTATGGAACACACAACAGACCAATCAGCGGGCAAGCAGTTCTACGGAGGTTACGAGGTGCCAATATCTAATGCCTTCGACCTTTAAACTTAACGTCATCATTTCACACGTTTGTTGGTTTGTTGTTTAACGCCACACTCAGTGATATTTTAGCTGGATGAAGGCGGTCTGTAAATAATCGAGTCTGGACCAGACAATCCAGTGATTGACATCATAAGCATCGATCTACGCAATTGAGATACGATCAACCAAGTCAGCGAGCCTGATTACCCAATCATATTAGTCGCCTCCTACGAAAAGCACAGTCGGCTTATACGGATCTTCACGGTTGTCGCCGCACACGTCAGAGATAAGCACCATGCCATCGGAACTGGCATGACAGGCATTGGACAATCGTTTCATTTCTGTAGCATGTCAATTTTACTACTTCTGATGGAGTTGAGTGTGTACAATGAAGAAAAAAAAGCTGAAACATATAAGACTCGATATAAAAATAAATATTGACTTTCTTGTGCAGCGTCCAAGGACCAAGCAGGCCATGACATGAAACACAACGTTATCAAGTTTTCTCCAGTTCAATACATTTCATAATAACATTGAGTTTTGTGGCTATTATATTGACTGACATGTGTCTATTCCATAACTCAATAACGTGTTATATATAAGTAATTATATTTTTCCGAATTCATGACAATTTATGATAGCATTTATATTCCCTTGTTTACAAAGCAATATGGGTTAATTTACACTTACACAATGAGGTGGCACTGGAAACAAAGGGGCTACATGAAACGTTTGACAGGCCATCTGTTTAAGGTCTAATATACTCAACCGCAAAAGAAACGGAAGTAAACAATTATGTTCGATGCCATTCGTTATTTTGACTTGCATATTATGTTTCTGACGGGTGCCTGGTTGGCTAGGTCTGGGTGCATGGATTCACGTAGTTCCGCATCACTGGTACCTCCCTTGAAGTTAATGTCACTTTCTGAAAGAATTTCAAATGGTTGTCCTCATCTGGAACTGAAATGGGGTAAAGCCATCAAGAAGCCATCAGTGTCCATACTTTCCAGAAGATCTAGATAAACAGCACGGGACGTGAGGCAAATCTCTTTTCCCTTCTCAGTGATATTTTGGTATGCACCGGGATGAAACAGTCCACACCACAGGAGTAGAATAGAGGTTTGAACAAACAGAGCCTGACAACAGGACGATCAGCCATTCTGGGTATATTTGGATTGGCACGCCACCATCTACAGTCTGGACACAGTCTCTGATGCTGGATAGTTTCACGACCTCTTGGAATCCAAAACTAATGTTGGCGAATAGATTCCCAGCTCCAAAGTGATGCTGACGGGTGTCATTATCCTTGATGATCAGCTTTGCGATGGGATCTTCAGGATCAAGTAATATAGGATGCTTCACGTGGTCGGTTGACCATTGGTGTCTTGTAGTAACTTCATTGAACTGGTATAAGGCATAGGGTCATGCACGAAGGCAAAAGCAAACGTTCTTGGTCCACCACTCAACGTATCGATGATATGTATTTTGTTCAGTCAAATTAGATGGATATTGATGCCATTTCAATCAGTGCAACCACCTGAGAAACTGAGAAACTAAGGATTCAGGTCTGGGTACACTAAAGGGGGATGATATGTGTGGTTCAGTCAGGTTGAGTGTCACTGCACCTTGGGTCATACATGTCATCCGTTATGGTTTCTGGAAGTACAGAATGTGGATCTGGAGGCATGGGATGGGGATTGTGTGCATCTGGTGTTGATAGGTGACTATGGTTGACAGAATGTTACTCGTCATTTAGGGACTAGAGTAGGAAGACAATCCATACGGAGTCGGTTGGTTGGCAGGTTTTCAGGGATTGCTGAATTTGAACTCACAATACAACTTGCTTGTGGGTTGAGCAGGCCTAAACGCAGGTGAGGCTGTAGACATTGTAGAGGTCACACTTGTTAATACAATCTCAGTGGAACTTGACGGTGGAGGCACATGGTGAATGGTGGAAACAGTGGCATGACATGTAATCGTGGTAACACAAGCCATAGCTTCACCTTCACTGGTTTAAGGTTTCGTTATCATTCTCTCTACACACTTAGGTTCACTAAGTTCTGTCTCAGCTCTTCTGATCTTTCTCTGTCTATTCAATTCCGCGTGACCCTCTCTCTCTCCTTCAAAGCAAGGTGGGCCACATAGGCTTCATCGGCTTCTCCATCTAACTGGGAAATGGTTTCATCTGCCAATTTCCCCTCCTGTTGCCTTATGGATAGTTCCTTTAACTTTGATTGACATTGAATTCGCTTAATGGTTGTCAGTTGTGTATCAGACAGTTGAGAGGAGATGGAACGTTCACTATTCTGGGAATGGTTACTCGCCTCAGAATAACGTGACGATCTGTTGCTTCTCATGCCAGATGTTTGCGATTTTCCGGAAGCTTCAATCGAAGTCGCCAGCCTCCCAGGAATGTCGCATTCATTGTCTGTCAGGTATTGAGGAATTCTGCTTTGTCTTCTAGGTCCACTCTCCTCAGATTAAACTATTGATTCGGTAACAGAACTTACTGTTTTCAATGGGTTACCTTCACTACCTTTGTCTGAATACAAGACCGAGTGCCGGTTTTGCTACGTGGGGTCATTTCGGAAAACACGCTTGTCACATTTCGTGTTCCGATGTCACATTCACCTGCTCTTGCTCGTGCGATTCCATGTCAGAAATAACTAATTCACCATACTGATTTCTACCGTATATTTCATGCAAGTCTGTTATCGCCTCGCGGGACCATGTTGCGGAGGATGGAGCCTCCAGTTGTGATTCACATAAAGTCCGTCGTCTTGAATACGTTTATGAATGATTGTGTGATGAAAACACGAATAGTTGGAAATATCCATTCATTCTGGCTCAGGGTCATGGATCATTTTTTGGTTCGAGTGCACATTTAAGGTTCAAAAACGCATACAACAAAAACAATAAGTATATTACGGAACGAAACTGGTCCGGAAAATAATACGAAATGGGATTCCTTTACCTTAATTACTTTCTCACCGAGATGGACCCAGTGACATATGCCAAAGCTCACCACTCTCGTACAAAAGAAAATTAACAAGGCAGCCAAGGATTTGAAGCATATTTCTTACCAATGAGGAAAGCCGGATATAGGATATTAAATGTATTGTTTTACTCTTGGCAATGAATTTTCATTGGTCACTGACATCCTCAGCTGACATGGAATGAAAACATCGAGATGATTTTCATTTATTTGTGTTGACAGTTTTACATGTTTTGTGACCAAAACTACATACAATCTGTTCAACGTGAAACACATATTGAAGATAATTTCTAATCGTAATAAAATTATATGTAAGAAATCTGGTTGTTGATGTAAACAACCAATCCAGACCAATTATGGCAAAGATAACAGTAAACGACTTGACGGCAACTTAAGCAGAAGAAAGTACACTTTACAACCTTTAAATACACTCAATGCTTTCTGTGTGAAAGCATTCCTTGGGTAACTACAGGAATCACGATACAGAATCAGGATTGAACCGGAAGCAGCCTCATTGGCACCGGCTGCGTCCACCGATTTGCCTCAGTATGTATGTATGTATGTATATATGAATTTGTGTGTGCGTGTGTATAGATATATGTACTTGATGATTTAGTGGCGGATGACTGACTTTGGCGGAATATCAAAAATCCCATTACGTACATGATGCATGCATTGACAGTTTTCTGCCGGAAAATGAAAGTGAAAACACGCTCAGGAAAACTGAACACAGTGAAAATCTACCAAAGATCAAAGTGTTCAAAGCGACGTCGCACAATTCTGGATTCCATAAATGTTCCACATTCATCCATACATACCCCCGGGTGGTTTGCATGACTGACTTTTTTTTAATGTTTGAACGTTTTCGAGTGAGCCGCTGTGACGTTACGTCAACGCATGTGACCTTCACCTGATCTTCTCGCACTCGCACTCAAAATTGTTTACTTGTATTTCCATGTTGTTTTTGTGTACGTGTAGCTGATACAAATATACTACATTTATATGGCAAAAGGGAACTATTTGACACAATCCGATGTGTTGTGAACAGGTCGCTTGTTTCTGTTGCGTAGGGACACATCTCTGAATAATGTCTTGAGATGTTTGTATTACATTTGATTATGGGTAAAGAAGAGATCAACCAACTCGTTCCCTCGGGAATCAATGCTATAGATCCTTCGTTCCCTACGCTCACTCGAGGTCTATGGCATTAATTTCCTTGAGAAAAATAAACCATAATACCTCGAGCTCGTAGATCGTTAGTTATTCTCGTAATCTACAAAACATACCTTGAAAGGTATCTCTGGCTATTGAAGAAAAGTACATGCTGCATGAAATGTGAAGTGAATTTCACTATGATTTCATTACTTTCAGATATTGTACTGAATAAGGCAGAGAACATTATGCTGAGAAAGCCGAGTAAAATGAGTGGAGTCTACAACTCCGCTGGGTACGCGAATGATGGGAATATCCAAAGCCTAGCAGCCGTAACCGGCAACAGCGTGAATCCCTTCTGGCAGGGAGATCTTCAGGGGTGGTATACTATCAATTACATCTCAGTTTCAAGTGCCTATTACTTTCCTTATGGTGAGTCTGCGTGTTTGTGAAATTGTAATCTTGATATCTACAGCTGCCCCATGTCAGCAAAAAAGTTGTAATTTTATGTGTACCTGCAGTGTAAATACTGAAAACGGCTAATCGAGTCTGGACCTCACAATCCACTGACTGATATCATGTGTATCGATTCATGGAATTGGGATACGATGACATGCATAAACCATGTCAGCGAGCCTGACAACCCGATCCCGTCAGTCGCCTCTTATGGCAAACATGCATATGACTTGCTGAAGACCAAATCTTCACGGGTGCGATGGTCATGATGTCAATAACAGGAATGTCTTGTCCAGTCTCGATTATGTACGGACCGTCGTCATATACCTAGCTAGATTATTGCGGAGTGCGGCATTAAAATACGAACAAACAAGGATTAACTATTTTGCATTTACTTAAACAGGGATGAGTGATTTGTTGAGTTATGAAGTCACTGAATTACTGAGTTTGACCATTTTGACCTGACTGGACAAACTACCCATAATATGATAAATATTGTATCAAACAGAGGCATACTTGGAAAGTGCGTACGTGGGCGTGTCTGCTGATGACAGCATCGACTGCCCAGATGTGGAAATCTTTGTCTGCGGCCAGTGTCCAGCATCTGTTGGTGCAGGAGAAACCTTCACGTTCAACTGTTCCCACCCACGACCTGTCAGATTCGTGAAGATCTGGAGAGACGTGACCAGCCTAGCTGTTTCGGAAGTTGAGGCTGAGGGCACGTCAACAACACAACGTGGTAATATACCTTGTCACTTGGGAAACAATCTGGCAATATGTCATCCATCCTTCCACAGCCACGCAGATATCTCCCTAAAGCTATTTATCCATTAGTTGTATTTATATCATCCCCCCCCCCCCCCACACACACACACACACACACACCCGGGTTAGAATTGATATCCATCAACCTAGGCTTGTTGTAAAAGGCGAATAGGGTTACTGGTTGGTCAGGTTCGCTGACATGGTTGATGCATGTCATTGTATTGCAGTTGAGTAGATCGATGCTCATAACGTTACTCATTGGATAGCTGGAATATTGCTAAGAGCGCCGTTAAAGAAACAAAGAAACAAACATGAGAATAGCATCCAACTTTGTTGCTTTTAGGATCGGAGCCAATTCATTTATATAAGATGGCATGTTTTTGTTGACGATAAAGTAGCTATTGTATTTTAATTATCTGAGCTTCGAAATTTGCTTCTTTGACTAATGGCGATCCGTGTTGATTTCAGGAACCAAGTACCAAAAAGGGATGAACACTAAGGTTCAAACACCGATGACATCTCTCACTGTTGCTTCCGCCAATGAATGCGGTTACCAGTGTCACGTGTTCCAGCCTTGCCTCAGTTTCAGTTACAACCCAACAGCTTCTCCCAACTGTCTCCTGACAACCAACCCAGAAGATGCAGCAGCAGCTGCCGGCTGGACCAAATACACCATCGAGAAGTGTTCCAGCAACATCACCTGTCTCCTGACTGACCAGTTCAATTAATACCAGATCCAGTATTTGTTCTGCAAATGTGACATTCTGGGACGTTATGTCAAAGACATGATGAGTGTAAAAACATCAATAGCAATACGTACTTCTCTGTCAAAGCAATTCGGTTTATATTGTAAAAATAATACCGTTTCAGATCATCTCGAACTATCTGTACGGATGACTTGGTGTTAAACTGGTATTTTTATGTATTATTCATTCATAAAGGCAGGTATGTGAATGCCAATTGTTCCTGTTTCATACCACTGCCTTTTCGGTTTCTCTTATGTCAGAAATGATAAAGCCCTCATCAAATTACGAACGATTTCTCAATTTACCAAGACAATTGTCACTCGACGTTGCCAGTTTAATTGATGTGGAAGTAAACTGGTCATTTAGGTTAGGGGCCGACCATTTGATACACTGGAGGAAAAGGGAAATTGTCCCAGAAAATGCTTGAAACAAATATTTATGCTTCAGATTGTTGACAAACAATTGTCAGACACAAAACACAGAGCACGTTCGTCAAACGATTATCAGCTGATACAGTGTTAGTATTATAGTATTAAATATTTGTGTTGGTGAGTGGGATCAGCTGAATACAGGCCAATGACTTTAATTATTCACTTTCAACAAGAGTGTGATCATGAACTTTAAACCCACCACAACGATCCTCATCTGACGTACATGTATGTAGGCGTTTCGTGTCACCAAGGGTCCACACAGTCAGTGGTATTGTTTCAAGATTTTGTAACCTCCGTCTTCTCCGAAGGAAATCGAACATAATTTTTCGATATCCTCTACAACGATCATATGCTATTCAACAAATGCAACGTGCATCATTTAGAATAATGACTGACTTACTAACAAATGGGCTGACGGACGGATAGACAGATGACTCAAATGTAACAGATTTATACAAGCCGCTATATCCCAAATAGAAACTGTGGAGAAGAAATAGTTGAATCATCAAGAAAACAAAACATGTCAATGTGCGCAGAAAGGCTGCTAGCATCACCGTTTAGGATAGGAGAACAATGGGAAATCGCTGATAAGTGAAGTAAAGAAGTCATCGCAGTGTGACAATACATGACAGAAGCGCAGAAATGGCAAATACTTGGCACTATTAGGTGAGGGGTCACCCATGATAATTATCTTATAATATCAGTTAGTGTGATTTCAAGATCGTTACGGTGTTTGCCACAATCGACAGAGAGCGTCACGTATTACACATGGTATCAAAGGATAAAGTCAGGTCATTGTCAACCCCGAGTTTACACAGACGATTCAGCGATCAAACTGAGTGAGGGAGGGAGGGAGCTGGGTTGGGTTGGGTTGGGTTGGATTTTAGACCACTTAGTACCACTGATCAATATTTCGCTTTGATGTGGGATTGTGTTTGTTTGTCTGTTGTTTTACGCCGCACTCAGCAATATTCCAGCTATATGACGGCGGTCTGTAAGTAATCGAGTTTGGACCAGACAATCCAGTGATTGACATCATGAGCATCGATCCTCGCAATTGATATACAATGACACGCATCAACCAAGTCAGCGACCCTGACCACCTTTGATGTGGGAAGTAAGCCTGAAGTGATGCACGTTTTAGAAAATACCACTTTGGTGAAACCCATGGTCACGGGTATGGCGCTGGGAAACATAAATTCTGGATGATCCGGGATTCGAACCTTCAATCACACCGGCAAACATCTTAAGTTTGGGGCACACCAAAAGGACGCAACTCTGCGATGCGATGCCTCCTGCTCAAACGGTAGAAAAAGGTAGCTGCCAGAGACTCATGAAGACGACCCCTAATCCCAAACGAATCAGAACTGACTTTGCACTGTGTCACAGCTTCAGGCAGTCGTGTCGTTGGCGTCACGCCATGTTTAGCGAAGAATCGAGGTTTCTTCTAAATTTCATAAATTGCCACAGTTGTATGCTTGTAGACTTCATGGTCCGGGTTCGTTATGAGGCTGTGAGGCCAGTAATGGTACTCGCATGATCAGGTCACAAGTGCAAGCTATCAGTACCAGTCACAAGACAGCCAGGGAGACCTGCTACTGTTTCTGTGCCTGTTCTGAGGAACGCAGTTCATCTGTCAACGGATGAGTGTGAACATCATACATAATCTTGGCCAGTCAACATTACTGACGATGCCCCATTTGGCTCCGTGAATGAATAACAGCATCAAAACCCTTTCCATAACCATAAATATATGCGACAAAATCCTTTCCACATTCATGGGAAATCTCGAGTCGATTGTACGATTCCGACTATACCATGAGCATTTGTTCATGAATCACTATCAAATAGTGATGATACCGGTGCATCCGTCACAAACACATGCAAAGGGAGGTCAAGCGTTTGTCAGAAAAACACGAGCACACTGTGGTATCAGATGCCCTGGACAGGATCAGGTACGCCGGGCGGGACACTTTTCTTCGCAAAATATTATTCGTAAGTGTTTGACGAGCGTAACACAAATGCTATATATTGCCAGATGGAGTCCGCGTTGGGGAGAATGTCTTGGCCATTTGAAGGTCTTTTGTTTTAAGATGCCATCCTTAAACAATATTGGAGATACATACCGTGGGTTGATAACAGTGGCGTGCTCTAAGAAAACATAGAATATTGTTTTTTAACTGTTCATGGTATGCAAGGTATAAATGTATAATCACGCGAGATACCTTATAAGAAGGCCTCATCTTCAGAGAATATTTCCTATTCGTGTTTAGGACTGATCAAGGTCAAAGAAGAAGATGAACGAAAAAGGCCATTTTGAAAAAGGCTACATTGCGACGGTCTGTTAATATTCGAGTCTGGACCAGACAATCCAGTGATTGGCATTATGAGTATCGATCCATGCAATTGGGATCGATGACATGCATCAACCAAGTCAGCGAGCCTGACCACCCGATCCCGTTAGTCGCCTTTTACGACAAGCATATATAGTCGCCTTTTACGGCAAGTATGGGTTGCTGAAGACCTATTCCGCCCCAATCTCATTAAAATCAGATCTTAATTCTCGCTACCGCTAAACTCATTAAAATCAGATCTTAATTCTCGCTACCGCTAAACTTTGTTTAGCGGTAGCGAGAACTAAGGTCTGATTTTAATGAGATTGATTCCGCCCCGAATTCTAACGGGTCCGATGATGAATAAGAATATGTGTGTGACACATAGTGAATATATTTGAATAAGGAGCTGGCTTCAGTGAACGACAGACCAAACATATGTAGAATAATACGTCTATGCCATGAAAACATATCCGTTGTCATCTGTTTAGCAACGTGACGTACTAATTGCTTTCAAAGACAAGGATACATGTTCAATTGCTGTAAGCAATATTCTATTAATATCCGGCGGCATGTTTCTTATCGAGACTGAAACCAGTGGCTGATGTAATGAGCAACGTCGGGTACGATGACTCGCAATCAACCATGTCACCTAACCTAGGCGATCGTAGATCTGCGACTTGTCGTAATAGTGACTTCTCGCCAGAGCGGCATTTGAAGATACAGATCTTCTTGCTCAAGCGACATGCGGAATGCCTTTGTAGACGTGTCTGTTCTTACAGCCATAGTTGAGTCATAACGCTAGGATCCCTTTGTGAAATGAGGCCCTGACCACCCGATATAACCCCGATATAACCCGAGAAGCAAAGATTTATTGAGTATGGTTTTACGCCGCTTTTAGCAATATTTCAGCTTTATCACGGCTGGGGACACCAGAAATGGGCGCACACATTGTACCCATGTCGGGAATCGAACCCGGGTTTTCGGCGTGACGAGCTAACGCCTTAACCACCCCCACCGACCCGAGAAGCAAAAGAGACTGCAGCTTTAATTCAACCCGTGCGGGGTGATGCAAATAAGAAGATGAGTAATTCACCTCCTTCCATGACATTATTTTATTCATGATAGATGTCACATTCACATTTACATAATTTTTTTTTTACTTTTCGTTACGTATGTACGATGCAAAACTAACAGGATATGAAGTTTATTTAAATCACAATGATACACAAACTGTACGCGTGTCTCATCCTGGTTGAAAACCATGATTTAGCCCGAATATATCGTGGACAAATAACGGTATACAAATATTTGTCTTGCTCAATCTCAAGGTTCTCTCAATGGACTTCACTGTGATGGACATGTCAACATGCATGTGTCCATTGTTTGATGATGTCGCTGCATTCCGATGTGACGTCATCTATTTTCACTGCTGTACGGGTAAGCGGGGAAAAAAGAGTGTTACCGCTTGTTTTACCAAAAAATAGATGAAGCACACGTCATGCCTCTTTGGGTGTTAAAGAGTTGTTAAAGACTAGGGCCAGACAAGGACCAAAAACCCACGGTTCCAAATAAAGTATCCGGACCTCCATTAGAACCTACTCATTAATACCCGCAAACCGGAAATAATTAACTCAATGTTATTCATCTATTTTATCAACTACAAAAAAATGTTTTGTTTGTGTGTTGTTTAACGCCGCACTCAGCAATATTTCAACTATATGACGGCAGTCTGTAAAGGATCTAGTCTGGACCAGACAATCCCGTGATTTATATCCAGCATCGATTCACACAAAATCGGATACGATGACATGCACCAAGACAGCGAGCCTGACCACCCGATCCCGTTAGTCGCCTCTTACGACAAGCATGGTTTACTGAAGACCTGTTCTAACCCGGATCTTCACAGGTCCTACAACGAACTGACAACTTATTGGTTTAGAAAGAATTATAGATAGCACGTTGATCTACTTAAAAGAACTGACGACAACGAAAAAGATACAACCTAATGACACTAACAAGAATCAGACAATTTACTGAACAAAGAACTGACAACTTCTTCATCTATAACTAAAAACAGACAACTAATTAATTCACAACAAAAACATAAAAGTTGTTTGTCTCCTACACAGACGAGACTTACAGATTTACTTCAAAGAAGTGACGACTTGTTGATATGCTACAAATCAGAAATAATAAGTCGATCCACAAAGCACTATTTACTCCGCTACAAATATCTAACACCTCATTTACTACCAGATAAACTTGATAGTGTTATTCATCTATTGAAAGAACTGGCGCCTTATTGACCTGTCTTTACTTGCCTTATACGGCAACTGAAGACAACTTCAAGAATTTATTATGCCAAAACGTTTACACTATCTGGTATCAATATCGCACATCTCATGTCAAAATGAAAACTTTCAACCTGAGCCCGAAGGGTAAAAGGGAGACTACTCTTCAAACTTCAGAGGCCAAACCGTGTTGATAATTTTAACTTTACCTAATCTTTATAAAACTCACGAAAGTGATCTAAAAAAAACATTAACGTCTTTGCACGTTAAAATTTATGATATTACAACATAAAACTGTGTCGAATAACGAATTTCTGTACCAGAATTTCCATGTGAAATATGTGAGGTGGGTGTTGGAAAATCCAAAATGGCTGTTACTGACGGTATATGGTCTCATATGGGGTCAGTAGTTCAGCTCTCTGATTGGTCAATCTCACTTTGAGGCATAATAAAGACGATAATGTACCTGCAGTTCTTATATTGTCCAGATGAACGAGTGCATGACAGAGTAAGCTAAATCAGAATTATGTATACTGTGAAATACGAAATAACGAACATGCTTATAACGAACTGATGGATATTCTGTGTATACTTTAGTGATATAACCTTTCAGAATTGTGTGCACACGGAAGAGACGGTTTGGGCAAAACTGGATACGGTGAATTGTCTGATAGACATTACAGTAAACTACGTTTATAACGAACACGCTTATAACGAACTGACGGATGTACTGCATATACTTTAGTGACATAACCTTTCAGAATTGTGTGCATTCGGAAGAGACGGTTTCGGTCAAACTGGATACGGTGAATTGTCTGATAGACATTACAGTAAACTACGTTTATAACGAACACGCTTATAACGAACTGACGGATGTACTGTATATACTTTAGTGTTATAACCTTTCAGATTTGTGTGCATTCGGAAGAGGCGGTTTCGGCCAAACTGGATACGGTGAATTGTTTGATAGACATTACATTAAACTACGTTTATAACGAACACGCTTATAACGAACTGACGGATGTACTGTATATACTTTAGCGATATAACCTTTCAGACTTGTGTGCATTCGGAAGTGGCGGTTTCGGCCAAACTGGACACGGTGATTTGTGTGATAGACATTACTTAGAAGTTGACGGATGGCAAGCCAGACAAAGTTTATGGATAACAACTTCTTTAATTTATGTAAAGGCGACGTTTCGGTATAGATCGGTGGATCCCGTGGTTTCACTGTTTCGAGTTAATACACAACACTGAGATGGAATGGCGACATGTAGATTCATACGATGAGCACCTGGTGCAGTTTGATACGATGCATGTGTTGTAACCATTACGCTGCTGGTGTTGTCACTTCAAGGGACCTGACTGCTGTTCCCGAGGATACAGAGATGTGCTCCACTCTCAGCGAGGGGGACGCGGAGGGGAAGTCCGATACCATCTTTCCGCCGACATATATCTGGAAACAGTGCAAGATAGGACATTGACATTCACCGGGAATAATAACTTTGCTTGTTTGTTTGTTTGGGCGACGCACTAACCAATAATACAGCAACACGACGGCGGCCTATTAAGAAGCGACTCTGGACCAGACGATCCAGTGATTGACATTGTGAAAAATTATCCACGCCGTCAGGGTATGATAAATCACTAGCAACCAATCCAGTTGGTCGCCTCTTATGACAAGCATAGATTGTTTGGTCCAATTCTAACCTGGAATTCCCAAGTAATAATTTAAAAAGGTAAACAATTCATCAACTCAGCTCTGTGGCATGTTCTATATCTTTACCTACTTTGCTTTCCTTTACCTACATGTACCTACACAATCAGCAATGTTTTCTATCACGGCGGCTTGTGAATAATCGAATCTGGACCAGATATTACCAGCAAAGTGCCACGCTGTCGAGTCTGATCTCCCACAATCTCATAAAAATCAGATCTTAGTTCTTGCTACCGCTAAACAAAGAATGTGTTTAATTTGTTCTCACAGATAGAGCGGTATTGAACAAACTTCGTTAAACCGTCGATGAAACTAACACAGTTGCGATAATAGTCACTGTGCTTGTATTTACATACACCTTCTACCGTGCTGTCTTTCAAACAAATCTGCAATAAACACAAGGAAATGCGGACTATCATGCTAATTTCCGATCGTATAAGAAAATCCAGGTTTTGTTAAGAAGGTGGCATTGGGCAGTTTATTGGATCAGGGTGCTTAATACGGCGACTGTCACTTATATATGTATAGCAACCACGCGAAGGTGTAAACTTCATCCTTCTGACCCGTGAAGATCTGGTAGAATAGGTCTTCAGTAACCCGTGCTTGCCGTAAAAGGCGACTATGCTTGTCGTAAGAGCGACTAACGGGATCGGGTGGTCAGGCTCGCTGACTTGGTTGATGCATGTCATCGATCCAAATTGCTTGGATCGATGCTTATGCTATCAATCACTGGATTGTCTGGTCCAGACTCGATTATTTACAGACCGTCGTCATAGAGCTGGAGTATTGCTGAATGCAGCGTTAAACAATAAACAAACAAACAAACAAACAAACAAACATCCATCCATCTTGGAAGTGAGAACTTTCCTTCATCCCTACCCTGATTAATTCATAACAATATCGCCTCCGTGGGTTACTTGATAGAGCGTCTGCCCGGAGAACGGAAGGTCGGTGGTTCGATTCCCTGGCCGCGTCATACCAAAATACTTTGAAAGATACTTGTTGTTACACTGTCTGGCGCTCGGCCTGAAGGTGATAAAACAAGGAATTGTCGGCTCGGGGTCAGTATACCGAGTCTGAGTGGGGTATCCATGTCAACCATCGTTGGCTAGCACTACAAGTCCTTCCTAGTACACCCACATCCTGAGACACACCCACGCAAAGACAAACACACCGCACGTCTCTAGATAAGTGCAGCATTCTCGAACGCCATCTTAAACGGCATTTCACCTCAACTTTACATTATGCTTTTGAAACAAACTACGATCGATGTCCGCAGGAACGGCACTGTCCGGTATTACGAGGTTTCTCTGTACAACATACAACATAACTTACCACGTAGGAATCTTTCAGCACTTTTATGCTCAGTTTGAACGCCACAGGTGCGAGCCCATGACTCGCTACTTCCTGCGTCGTCAGTACTTTGCCGTTCAGGACGTTGCTGATAATCAAGGAGTTCACTACTTGGTCATAGGTGATGAGAACAACTGCCTCTGGACCAGCTACCAGTGCCATGCGGAACCTGGTAAATACAGACGCATAGTTAGAGTGAGTGAGTTGGGTTCAACCACAAACTGGGGACACAAGGCACTGAACTCAGTGCACGGGTTCATGGTGCTGTCAAACCAATTATCATTATTGGACCGAATGTTGGATTCGAACCCACAACCGTTGAGTCAGACTACCGACAAGGGACACAACTTTGGAGAGTGAACGCGACACCTTAGACAACTTGGCCACCCGCAACCCCGTATTCTATATGCGTTATGAAATTGTGTTGAGATCGTGAGAAACACGGGAATAGATCAAGGGTTAGTGTAGGTTTACTGAAATGCGAGTCCTGGAGATTTTGAGGATGGAGGTGGGGTGTGGTTACGGAAAATGTAAATTATTTATTCCAGAAAAGAAAGGAAAAAAAGGATAACCTTGCTTAACATTTTAAAAACCAAAACTATTCGCTGGACATAAAGGATGTGCTGAAAGAAATACACCGACAGATGAAATTAAAACTTTCGGTGTATCTTTCAGATATTTCTTGTAACGTTTAAAGCAGTGACTGAAGCTGTTTTCTGTAACCATAATTGAAGACCCTAGCCTCATCCACCCATAACATGAAATGATCGGTCTCCATCTGTTAGGACAGTTGTCAGGTCAAGGTCAATACAGATTAGGTCACTACTTACACGTTCGTTGCCCTTGACAATGTGGCCTGCAGTATGATGACATCCCCGGTTTTCAGCACACATGGAATGGGGAAATTGGTCTCCTGGACAACAGAGAGAAAGTTTTAACTGAATCCAAGTACAAATGTAACTGGAACATATTTGCATTCAAACGTTAACAACTATAGATCATTTTTAGAGCTAGGCTAACGGTATTTTAGCCACATCATGACCCATTTAGAAATCCACGTGCAGGGATAAAGTGATGAAGAGCCAAGGATCACTGTTTGTTTGTGTTTCTGTTGTTAACGCCGCACTCACCAATATTCCAACATTCCAACTACCGTATTCGACGTTATAAGCGCCCAGGGCGCTCTCAAAATTAGACATAGCGGGCTCTTATCAGAATATTATTTTGGTTTATGCTGACAGCCTGAAATGTATATATACGACGGATATATTTTTCCTGGATTTAATTGCCCATAATTAAGGGTGCATATAACACACGAGTGCGTATTATACACGAATAAATAAGTCTTGTGCACATTGATCAATCCGAAGGGGTGCTAATTGGGATTGTTCACTAGCCAATATATTAGCAAATATAGCCGTTGGCGCTTATTAGAGCAGGGCACTTATTACGTCGAATACGGTAGTCTGTAAATGACCATGTCTGGACCAGACAATCTAGTGGTTGACATCATGAACATCGATCTGAGCAATCGGGATACGATGACATGCATCAACCAAGTCAGCGAACCTTCGAAGTCATGTGTCCAATTCCACATGTGGATACAAGGCGTAAAACTCTTTTATTGGGGTTCCCCTTCTGATATAATTGGCACAATACTGAGAGTGGCGTAAAACCAACTAGCTCACCACTCATGAAATGCTATTGTGTCCTTACCTTGCCTAGAGGCGCCAGGCTAGTCCATTGGTAGCGTTCGCATTTGTCAGGTCTGTAGAACTTCCAGGTGCCGTCACTCCAGCACGTGACCTTGGTGTGTGACCCGCAGTAGCGGTGTTCGACGTTACACTTCACATGCCCTTCAGCTCCCATTGACGTCTCGGAGGTGATGACCTTGGCATTGGGCACTGTGGCAGTTGCGCAGTCTGTGTAGCCTCTCTCTGGAAAGGCAGCGTGGAGAGTACGACCTTTGATATTTATTTTCTGAAAGGATACACTCCCAACGCCTCCGAAAACACTGTATTTTGAGTATGGACTGAAGCGTGATTAAAGGATGTGAGAATAACCCTTGTGTTGCGCTTATCATTATGAGTAAGGGCCCGCACATGAATGCTGATGGAGACAGTTCAGAGCAAGGGCCGATAGATCAAGCACTCATTGCCTTAAATGACCCTTGGCTGACCAGGCGAATTGCAGATCTCATGGCTTACATTGACCACGACGGCGCGGAACGACGTTTAAGTAACTGTCGTAGGGTTCAGTTTAAGCCCATTCGTTTCGACAATATCAAAGTCAAGATAATTTAAGATTCTTGCTTGGGACGAACGCCCAGAGTAAGGAATCAACTCTATTCCATATGACACTACCACACCGGTTCGGGGGCAGGCAGTGAAAGTAGCACTTGGAAAATATTTATGTTTATATGGAAAGACATTTTTTATTATTATTATTATTTATTTTTTTATTTAGTTTTTTTTTATTTTTATTTTTTGTTTGTTTTTTTTTTGGGGTGTATAGTAGTCTCGGTTATATTTGTCAGCTGTGATACATTAAATTGAAAAGGTTAAGTGGGAATACTTTGTGGATTCCCTCATTGACGTACTATGACATGAAGAGAAATCAGGTCCAAAGAGAGTGGACCCCTGAAGATTCCGGGGTAGAACAGGCCATGTTTGCTGTAAAAGGCGACTATGCATGTCGTAAGAGGCGACTAACGGGATCGGGTGGTCAGGCTCGCCGACTTCCTTGATGCATATCATCGATCCCAGATGCTCATGAGGTCAATCACTGGATTGTCTGGTCCAGACTCGATTATTTACAGACCGCCGGCATATAGCTGGAATATTGTTGAGTGCGGCTATAACAACAAAACAACCAACCAAAGAGAGTTCTAACTACACTTTAGTGGAAACAGGCGCCTTGTTTTCGTGTTATATAACCAGGTCTCTTTGGACCTGACCGCCTCCGTGGTCTATTGGTAGAGAGTCCGCCCGGAGAGCAGGAGGTCCGGGGTTCGATCCCCGACCGCGTCATACCAAAAGACGTTAAAAGATGGTACTTGTTGTTACCCTGTCTGGCGCTCGGCATTAAGGGGCAAAAACAAGCACTGGTCGGCTCGGAGTCAGTATACTGACTGTGTCTGAGTGGGGTATTCATGTTCAACTGCGGCATGGTATCTCAGTGAGCTAGCACTATAAATCGGCATCAGTCCGGACTAGTACAAGCAGCCACACACACACACACACGTGCATGCACGTCGATATATAAGTGAAATAATCTTGGACGCGACGTTAAACCACATTTCACCTCACCTCACCATATACACCACAATTTAATTAACTAATACTCGGACGGTTTGACCTGAAAAACACACTCATTTATAACAACAACAACATATTACTGTTGCCAGTATGTTGGGATCAGCAGCTGTGATGCAATGGCGGCGTTGAGCGGGGACAGAGAAAGATCGATATTATTACATTCGACCTGTAACACTCATATTTATCATGAGAAGGCGACGCGATTCGCTGTGCAGAGTTGCGTCCCTTGGGCACGCCAGAAACCTATGATTGTGGGTTCGAATCCCGGTTCGCCCCGATTATGTTTCTAGGTTTGTCAGCACCATACCCGTGCTCGTGGGTTTCACCGAAGTGGTAAACGTCTGAGACCTGCATCACTTCGGGCTTTCCTCCCACATTAAGCTGACACGCCGTGATATAACTGGAATAGTGTTAAAAGCGGCGTTAAACCCAACTCACTCACTCACTCACTATCGCGAGAATATGTTTTCATATCCCGACGGTCTTCTTCACTGTTTACGGTGCAGACTAAACTAATCGTCACATCCGTTTACTATAATTGTACATTTTAATTCAATTTTTTATTTCAGAGCTTGCGCAAAAACGACAAGTTCCGGACTGCTGAATCGGTTTATCAATACTTACCAGGTGTAAAAATGTGGACAATGTCGACATTGGGAGCCTCGACTACTACGCTGCTGATTGTTGTGAAGTTGACGACATGGGGGGACGTAGCCACGGACGTCCCGTCTACTCGGACCTGGATGCAGATAGTTGGGCTTAACAATTAATCGAAAAATCGATGTATTGCAATTATCCATTATAGTTAGAACATGTTAGCGAGTAAGTAATCATTGATGTGCTTTTACGACGCTTTCAGTTATATTCCAGCAATATCATATCAGGAGACACCAGAAATGAGCTTTCCATATTTTTGGAAGTTTGGAAGTCGAACACGTGTCTTAGGCGTGACGAGCAAACGCTTTAACCACTGAGCTACCTCACCGCCCCAAAACCGCGTTAAATTATTGCCAGTTTACACAGAAGCAACTTAATGAAGCGTAACACTGATGTTCACCATTGGTTAATGTAGTGGGACCGTTTCCGTGGTCTAGTGGATAGAGCGTCTTAGTGGACGTGAGCCTTGCTTAAAGATTGTGTAGTGAATCATTGTTACCTCAAAATGTGGTTTCAGGATCGTGATAGTCAAGTGGAATCTCTTTTTGACCGGGAAAGGGAAGGGATTAACAGGGACTGATCCTCCCCCACCGGGTACTGTGTTACCCAGGGTAAGCTGCGACGTCACGGAGTCCGCCTTTAACATAAAGTGTTTGAGCTGTTCCTTCATCAAACTGACGCTGATCGACCTGAAATGTACATTGAAATTATAACATGAATGTGTTATACGTTTTGTACTGTTGGAAAATGTCTGAATTTCCCGATTTGATAAACATGATTGATGATTTCCAAATGTGTGTACTACATGTTGCTAACGCTTAAGGGATTTGACCGGACGTACAGATGGGAGGCCCGAACTCATTCCTATATCTCCTCTCTAGGTGGGCAGCGATAACTGCTTAACCAACCATTCGGCAGGACCCTGGGTAGAATACATATAGATCCCCAGGGGTGACTAAATGGGATCAGATATTCAGGCTCGGTGACGAGGTTAATTTGCATGTCATCGCACCCCCACGGCATGGGGCGGCATCAGTCAGGAGTTTGTCTGGCCCAGACGCGATTATTCATAGCTGGAATGGTGCAAACACATCACCCAATCCGTATTTATATTGTGACAGGAACCGTAAAAATACTATCATTATGGGCACAGTTAAGACAGATACTATAGTACCGTAACAGTAAACTGTATAAATATGTACATTAAAAATACCCGACAGGGCGATGCAGGGGCTACGTACGTGTTCAGAATGAGATACATGGCGTACGTACGTGTTTTGTGTGAGATACAGGGCGTACGTACGTGTTTAGTGTGAGATACAGGGCGTTCGTACGTGTTTAGTGTGAAATACAGGGCGTACGAACGTGTTCAATGTGAGATACAGGGCGTACGTACGTGTTTAGTATGAGTACAGGGCGTACGTACGTGTTTAGTGTGAGATACAGGGCGTACGTACGTGTTTAGTGAGAGATACAAGGCGTACGTACGTGTTTAGTGTGAGATACAGTGCGTACGTACGTGTTTAATGTGAGATACAAGGCGTACGTACGTGTTTTGTGTGAGATACAGGGCGTACGTACGTGTTTAGTGTGAGATACAGGGCGTATGTACGCGTTTAGTGTGAGATACAGGGCGTACGTACCTGTTTAGTGTGAGATACAGGGCGTACGTACCTGTTTAGTGAGATACAGGGCGTACGTTCCTGTTCAGTGTGAGATACAGGGCGTACGTACGTGTTCAGTGTGAGATACAGGGCGTACCTACGTGTTTAGTGTGAGATACAGGACGTACGTACATGTACGTGTTTAGTGTGAGATACAGGGCGTACCTACGTGTTTAGTGTGAGATACAGGACGTACGTACGTGTTCAGTGTGAGATACAGGGCGTACGTACGTGTTCAGTGTGAGATACAGGGAGACCGTGGAACCGACTAGTCTCTTGCAAGGCCAGGCGAATTTATTAAGCTGCGACTGAAATTTTATAAATTGGAAGAATACTAATACACAGCAAAACATACATGTACACATTTTTAAAAAAATAAAAGTTGTAATAATTTCTTAAGCAATTGATGTGTTCAAGCTAAACGCAAACATAATTCACTTCTGGTGGCCAACGTTTCATATCTTTCACATGCCACTGTATACTAACAGAATAATCAGCGGGAAGAAAAACAAAATCAACACGTTGACTGAGTAGAAAACACAACGAGTGTTAATTTACCTTTGGTATCCAGGTCATTTGCCGGCATTCGCCTTTTACTTGGTTCGTGACTGGGCCGGTAGCAGCACACCGAGACACCTTGTCCTCTCCACAGAACATGTACGTGTCTTCAATGCACCTGTACTTAGTTGTAGTGTAGTCCCCGGCGCTGTGTTCGTCAATTGTCATCTGGTATGGCGGTGGGTCTGGTTTGGTACACATGGCCAGATTCCCAACTGAAAAAAAGATACCACACTCAATACCCGATCTAGCTACGAATTAATGTCTGACGTCCCGTTGATCAGATGTTTGTTTGTTGTTTAACGCAGCACTCAACAATATTCCGGCTGTATGATGGCGGTCTGTAAATAATCGAGTCTGGACCAGATATTCCAGTGATTGACATCACGAGCATTGATCAACGCAATTGGGATCGATAACAAGCATCAACCAAGTCAGCGAGCCTGACAACCCGATCCCGTTAGTCGCCTTTTACGACAAGCGAAGTCACCTTTTACGGCAAGCATGGGTTGCTGAAGACCTATTCTATCCCGGAATCTTCACGGGTCGCCAGTTTATTTGATGTGGAAGTAAACTGGTCATTTAGGTTAGGGGCCGACCATTTGATACAGTGGAGGAAAAGGGAAATTGTCCCAGAAAATGCTTGAAACAAATATTAATGCTTCAGATTGTTGACAAACAATTGTCAGACACAAAACACAGAGCACGTTCGTCAACCAAGTCAGCTGGCCTGGCCACCCGATCCCGTTAGTCGCCTCTTACGACAAACATAGTGGCCTTTTACAACAAGTATGGGTTGCTGAAGACCTATTCTTCCCCGGATCTTTAATTATAGGGCAGTTTGGTATGCTAGGAGTGTAAGTGTTGGCATGGGTTCGATTTCCCACAAGGATACAAGGTGTGAAGTCAATCTTGGTATACTCAGTCGTGATATAGCTGGAGTAGAACAACAACGGCTAACTAACTTCTCAAGCTTTTTGTCAAAAAGTACGATTGTTAGTGGTGGCACTGACCCCGTGTACAGAGCACGGGCCGTCACAATGACAACCACGATGTATTAATGGATTTTTAAGGGTATTTGTTTTCATTATGTTGATTATTTCTTCATCTGCGAAGTTTATGTCACACTGGTTTGTTTGTTTGTTGTTTAATTCCTTACTCAACAATTATATATCAGCTACATGACGGCGGTCTGTAAATAATCGATTCTGTACCAGACAATCCAATGATTGACATCATGAGCATCGATCCACGTAATTGGGATCGATGACATGCATAAACCAACTCAGTGAGCCGGACCATCCGATCCCGTTCGTCGCCTCTTACCACAAGCATAGTCGCCTTTTACGGCAAGCATGGGTTGCTGAAGACCTATTCTACCCCGGATCTTCACGGTTCCTGGAATGTTTTGAGAGAGAAAAACGAACATTTGACAGCTTTTTAAGAGCTTTGACCCAGTTAGAATCCCACTTGCAGGGGCATAGTGATGAAGAACCAAGTATCACTATATGTTTGTGTTTCAAACAGACTTCAATGTGGATTTACAAAAGAACATGGAGCTACAACTGCTATCCACATACTGAAAAAATACATAAAAAAGCTGGTACAGGTTTGAACCCCCGCAGAAAACATTCGCCCAAATGCAACATGACCACAACCACAACGCAGATTTTCGAACGCAGCTTTCCAAATCATGCATTGTTGAAAACGTGCAAAAAACGTGATTTTGAGACATTTGGTCCAAATGCACGTGCGTGATTGTGGCATAAATACCGACGTTGGACAGAGCAGGCATTCAGTAAGCAAAAAAACCACCTCCGAAACAGATGTGTCAACGGCGGCAATAGCACTATGGCATGCCATCAGCAGACGAACAGTCCTTCGACGACTTCGTACGGCTGGTATACGAGCCTACCGACCCTTCCGTGGAATGGCCTTGACCCGTCTACACCGCCAACGCAGACGGCAATGGGCACGAACTGTACGTCGGTGGCAGCGACGTGACTGGGCGAGAGTGCTCTTTACAGATGAAAGTCGGTTCTGTCTGTTCAGGAACGATGGCAGAGTTCGAGTTTTTCGACGAAGCGGAGAGCGACTAGCGCCAAACTGCATTAGAGAAGTTCACCCGTTTGGAGGTGGAGGCGTCATGGTATGGGGTGGCATTTGTGGCCCGATTACAACACGGCTGGTTATCATCCAAGAAAACCTGAATGTTCAGCGATACAGGGATGAAGTGTTGAGACCTGTTGTGGTGCCCTTTATTCAACATCAACCAAGAGGATTAATTTTGCAACAAGACAACGCAAGGCCTCACACCGCCCGAATTGTTCAAGACTACCTGGACAACGTTAACGTCAACGTATTGCCCTGGCCACCTTGTTGTCCAGACATGAACCCCATTGAACATCTCTGGGATCATCTTGATCGTCAGCTGAGACAACATGTACCGCCTCCAGCGAACCGACAGGAACTTGAACATACTCTTATGGAACAGGATTCCTGCTGACGTTATCCGCCGACTGACGACGTCAATGAGGAGGACTACTGTGTCATTAATGGACTCTTCATGCATTTTTTCAATGAACTCTGATTTGTGTAATTTTTAATTTGGACCCCTTGACTCTTTCTTTGTGTATTGCGGAAAATGCAATATCGGCATTACAATGCATTTTCATGGAAAATGATTTCGGTTTATAAATTAATCATCATAAATCTCAAATATGCCTTTGTTTTTGGTGTTTGGTCAAGTGAAGTCGGTGAAAACTTTCTTTTGCCCGGTAGTTTATATGGCGGTGGTCTGTAAATGACCATGTCTGAACCAGACAAACTAGAGGTTGGCACTTGAGCATCGATCTACGCAACTGGGATACCATGACATGAATCCAATTCAGCGAGCCTGACCACCCGATCCCATCAGTCGCTTCATATGGTGTTGAAGCATGGGTTGCTAAAGACCCATTTCTAAGCGGGATCTTCACTGGGGACATGTCAGAAAGTGAAATTAAATGTTATTGTTTTGACAGAATTAAAAAAACAAACAAGCAGCACCACTTTCTATAATTACCATCTTTTACTTTGGCATTGGCACTAACGCGTATTCTCCCAACTGGAACGGTAGACGGCCACCCCGAACTCGTTATGAAGTCGCGACCGATGACGTAGCCAGCACCAACACGCATCTCGCTGTCATTGCCCCAATCCAACCAGAAAGGCATGTACTCGCCGCAGGAGAGGGGGCTGTGCCACTTTGTCAGTTCCGTTTCACATATCGTACAGTCGGTCTTTGTGTTCTTCCGGGCACCCAGGGTAAACTGGACATTTATCCCCCACACTTTATCCGCTATGACGTCAACAATAACCTCTGTGCACGAGTTTACCAGGAATAATTTCGTCCTCTTAGAACCAGTGAGGGGCAAGGTAACCCACGTGTTATCGGTATCCGGTTTCAACGGTTGGTCGCTATAGGCGAGGGCATTATCTGAAACAAATGGGTTGTAAGGCTTGTATTTGCAATTACACATTATTATATTTATTTCAAGTTTAATTTGACATTTCCTTGCATTATCATTAGCGGGACTCTGCATGCTGTAAAGCTTGTAACCTGTGAAGATCCAGGATAGAACTGGTCATAAGCAACCCATGCTTGTCGTAAAACATCACAAACGGGATCGGGTCGTCAGGCTCGCTGACTTGGTTGATACATGTCATCGATCCCAATTGTGTGGGTCGATGCTCATGATGTCAATCACTGGATTGTCTGGTCCAGACTCGATTATTTTACAGACCGCCGTCAAAGAGCTGGAATATTGCTGAGTGTGGCGTTAAACAACAAACTATAAAGCTTGTTTGTTGTTTTTCAACGGTCTGAAAATATTTGAGTCTCGGCCAGACACGCCAGTGGTTGATATAATGAGCATCTCCCAAAGCCGCCAGGATATAATGGTAATATATAATCTCTCACTAACACACACCTGACTCCCTCACTAACACATACCTGACTCCCTCACTAACACATACCTGACTCCCTCACAAACACATACCTGACTCCCTCACTAACACATACCTGACCCCCTCACTAACACATACCTGACTCCCTCACTTACACATACCTGACTCCCTCACTAACACACACCTGACTCCCTCACTAACACATACCTGTCTGTCACTAACATACCTGACTCCCTCACTAACACACACCTGACTCCCTCACTAACACATACCTGTCTGTCACTAACATACCTGACTCCCTCACTAACACACACCTGACTCCCTCACTAACACATACCTGTCTGTCACTAACATACCTGACTCCCTCACTAACACACACCTGACTCCCTCACTAACACATACCTGACTCCCTCACTTACACATACCTGACTCCCTCACTTACACATACCTGACTCCCTCACTTACACATATCCCACCTCACTCACTAACACATACCTGACTCCCTCACTAACACACACCTGACTCCCTCACTAACACATACCTGACTCCCTCACTAACACATACCTGACTCCCTCACTAACACATACCTGACTCCCTCACTAACACACACCAGACTCCCTCACTAACACACACCTGACTCCCTCACTAACACACACCTGACTCCCTCACTAACACACACCTGACTCCCTCATTACACATACCTGACTCCCTCACTAACACATACCTGACTCCCTCACTTACACATACCTGACTCCCTCACTAACACACACCTGACTCCCTCACTAACACATACCTGTCTGTCACTAACATACCTGACTCCCTCACTAACACACACCTGACTCCCTCACTAACACATACCTGACTCCCTCACTAACAAATACCTGACTCCCTCACTAACACATACCTGACTCCCTCACTAACACACACCAGACTCCCTCACTAACACACACCTGACTCCCTCACTAACACACACCTGACTCCCTCACTAACACACACCTGACTCCCTCATTACACATACCTGACTCCCTCACTAACACATATCTGACTCCCTCACTTACATACAACTGACTCCCTCACTAACACATACCTGACTCCCTCACTAACACATACCTAACTCCCTCACTAACACATACCTAACTCCCTCACTAACACATACCTAACTCCCTCACTAACACATACCTAACTCCCTCACTAACACATACCTGACTCCTTCACTAACACTAACCTGACTCCCTCACTAATACATACCTGACTCCCTCACTAACACATACCTGACTCCCTCACTAACACATACCTGGCATCTGAAACTCGACAGTCCGGACGGCCATTGGTCCTTGCATCGACACAGCGGGGATAAAATCTCCCTCTACATCGACCTGCACGTCTCTGACGTCTTTGCCGTCAACACCTACCTATGAGATATATATATTTCTTAAACATCCAAACTATGAGACATATATCTTTCTTAAACATCGAACCATAAACAATATGCTGATATGTAAGTGTTAACTTATCAAGTGGCCGGTATGAGACTTTTTCAGCTTGATCAATCGTTAAACATATACACACAAAACAACCACTTTATCCCTCTCCAACCGTCGTACAGGTCTAATATTGAACGAAAATGATCAGAAATAGTGTAAAGAACTTTGCAAGGCAGAATTCGAAATTTAAATTTAAAATAAGAATAAACAGCATTAGAACGAGTATAGGGATTTCACTCCAATTAAACACAGCACAACAACATCAACAGCAGCAACATGGTCATCATCGTCGTCGTCGTCATTTACATCAATATTTTGCCTTCTGTCACCAATAGATCTGTTTGGTCAAATATCATTGGCTGATTTGTCCGCATCTTCCCGAGGCAAGGGCGTTAAAGTCCAGTTTCCACCCTTGCCGAACTAGGCTTGAATATCCAGTGTCTATTAGAGAGAGATATTTGGAGATTTTACGAGCGCTTCAGCCTCTGGCTATTTCGCACTCGGCTTAGTGTCTATTACGAGTTATGTCCCTCCTATATCCCTCCTATTGACCAATCAGATTACAAGTCTCATATCACATGCATTTGCTTTAAACAAAATGGCTGTGCCCAGTCAAGAAGATCTGATCGCTAATCAAGATCTATATTAATGAAACGAACCTTACCCCCCGATTTGCATGGTCAACTCACTTGAGCAAAAAACATGAAATGACTTGCAAAATATTTGTCGACGCCCACTTGACGGTACACATGCTTTGCAAATCCTGCAGTCGAATTAACTCTGCACGTTGAAATCCATGTTGTTTACGAACCAGATGTCTAGTTCATTACGCGATTTTGATTGAACGATGCAGACTCGTTAGTCAATCCTAAGTGTAACTCCGGATTTCAAGCCAAGTTCGGCAAGGATGGAAACTGGACATTTATGGTCATTGTTTACGAACCAGATGTCTAGTTCATTACGCGATTTTGATTGAACGATGCAGACTCGTTAGTCAATCCTAAGTGTAACTCCGGATTTCAAGCCAAGTTCGGCAAGGATGGAAACTGGACATTTATGGTCATTTAAAGCCCTTGCCTCAGGAAGATGATTTTTCCTCTGACGTTGACTTTAGGGGTCTTTAGATAAAGAGAAATAATCGGTCCTGAGGATACATGACGATACACATCCTTATCCATGACCCCTTACATATCATGTGGTTATCGTCGGGTGTATATGGGGGCACGGGTGGCCCAGTCGTCTGAGGCGCCGCGATTCGCTGTGCAGAGTTGCGTCCCTTGGGGCACGCCAGAAACCTATGATTGTGGGTTCGAATTCCGGTTCGCCCCGACTATGTTTCTAGGCTTGTCAGCACCATACCCGTGCTCGTGGGTTTCACCAAAGTGGTAAACGTCTGAGATCTGCATCACTTCGGGCTTTCCTCCCACATTAAGCTGACACGCCGCGATATAACTGGAATACTGTGAAAAAGCGGCGTTAAAGCCAACTCACTCACTTACTCTGGTGTATACAATCATGAAATTAACATCTACTTCATAATTTAATTCTGTAACGTATTGTTGAAGTATCACTGTCTCTCTTCAAGCTTAGGTGTAATCGTTAAGTCTTGCATTTCCTTGTGTAAAATTCCCATCACAGAGTATGTCATCATATTGTAATAGAGAGGTTATTATCCATTGATTGATTCATTCATTGTTGTTTAACGCCGCACTTAGCAATATTCCAGCTATATGACGGCGGTCTGTAAATAATCGAGTCTGTACCAGACAATCCAGTAATTGACATCATGAGCATCGATCATCGCAATTGGGATCGATGACATGCATCAACCAAGTCAGCGAGCCTGACCACCCGATCCCGATAGTTGCCTCTGACGACAAGCATAGTCGCCTTATATATTTGATTAATCAACAGTCAACTAACAGGAATCATTGTATATACTTGAATATCACTCACACGGAAGCTCTTGACCAGATACGTGATGACCATGTGAAACTCCTGACCCATGTGGAACGGGAAGGAGTCGATGATGATGTTGCCGGTGACGTTGCTAGCCAAAATGAAGGTGTTGATGTACTGGACACTGGTGAAGATGATGCTCGCTGTCAGGACGGGCGTGTGTCTGGCGGTGGCGGTGTTGACGAGCTGTATCTCCATCCTGGAAACAAGGATAACCAGGACGATTCAGCAGCAGCATTCCCACACTGACAAGGATCATTTTGCTACAGAAGCATCGCTGGAAGTACCTTGTCGCTATAGTCACTGCCAGAATGTTGCTGGGAACACCTTTGGTAGGACCATGTTGCTATGGAAACATCACTGGACGGACATTGATGCTACGGAAATAGCAGTCGGGGAAATAGTTGCTGCGAGCTGTGGGTAGCATTTGCGTGTGCTTGTCTGGACGACAACGACCTTACACCATACAATAAACAATATTTGTAGAAGTTTAATTGCATCTTTGTATTTTTGTCTTGTAACATAAAATGTGTACTTAAGATTCTTGAAACATTACACAGACGGAAAAGCAAAATGATTAAAATGACCAACACTTGAGCCAAAGTTGGCGTTGCGTATATATGGAACTCCGTCGAAGACACTGGAGGACATGTGAGCGTGAACGCATTCTTCCCAGTCTGAAATGAAATATACGATAAAGCCAAATAACTTTGGAATTCTCACTTCTAACCAACAATATGTAATTGTTATGCGACATAATAATTCTTCCGTTTCCTTGACATCAACAAAATACATCACTAAAATACAACGTTTTGACCTTGACAGGAATGGCATACACATGTGGAGCATGGCTCCTCTTAAATTTCAAATTACTTTGAAATTGACCATTGTGTTACAATATGCGCCAGTGGTAAACGCAATAATCCTTTTCGTAACGATCCAGGGCTGGTTGAGGAAGCCTACTGGTTTAAAGGGTTTGGTTGTCACATTGAAGGTCCGGGTTCGATTCCCAACTTGGATACACTGTGTTAATGTCGTGATATTGCGGAAACATTATTAGACATTCAGACTCGCACACTAACTCGTATCGATAAACAAAATAAACAGTTATGTTGGTCATATATTGAAGCAGCCACACTCGTTGTCACAGTACGGAGTGGTTTAAGATTTAATCAGGTTATCAAGAATAATTGTCATTGGCCTTCATCATATCTCGCATTAGTGACCTGATTAGGAGATGACCAACATCTGCGTCTCCATCGTTACACCGACACCCCCATGAACATTAAAACTTTCATTCCAAATCTTTCCAAAAAATCAAACCGGTATTTTTTGTTTGCTGTTATATCACAAACATAAATGAGGACAAACATAGTATCCACGTCGTGACAATAAAGAGCAATACAACGCCTTCAAAAGCAGTTCAGAGCAGTAAAATGCCTTCAAAAGCAGTTCAGAGTAGTAACGCCTTCATAGGCAGTCCAGAGCAGTAAAACGCCTTCAAAAGCAGTCCAGAGTAGTAAAACCCCTCCAAAGCCAGTCCAGAGCAGTACAACGCCTTCAAAAGCAGTCCAGAGCAGTAAAACGCCTTCAAAGGCAGTCCAGAGCAGTAAAACGCCTTCAAAGGCAGTCCAGAGCAGTAAAACGCCTTCAAAAGCAGTTCAGAGCAGTAAAACGCCTTCAAATGCAGTCCAGAGCAGTAAAACGCCTTCAAAAGCAGTCCAGAGCAGTACAAAGCGTTCAAAAGCAGTCCAGAGCAGTACAACGCCTTCAAAAGCAGTTCAGAGCAGTACATCGCCTTCAAAAGCAGTCCAGAGCAGTACAACGCCTTCAAAAGCAGTTCAGAGCAGTAGAACGCCTTCAAAAGCAGTCCAGAGCAGTACAACGCCTTCAAAAACAGTCCAAAGCAGAACAACAGGATTAAATGCAGTACAGAGCAGCAAATGATCGAAATATAGCTGCCCACAACATACGTACAATATCAGGGTATCTGAATGTCGTCACGAAACATGTTCCTTCCACGGTCTGCCAGATCCCCTCGCGGCAGGTGCTGGAGGGCGGGGCTGCCCCACACGGAGCCGTGCCCACCTCGCACGTGTATCTGGCGACTAGGGAGCTCCCTGTCGTGGTTACTGCTTCTACTTTCATTCCTGCCATTGTGGGCGGGGGCAACATGCAGTCAAAGGGTCCGGGTTCTGAAAATATTTCTTCAGCCATGCAGTTCTCTAGAATATAGACTTTATCTCGGCCTCCGAAGTGGTCGGGGAGGAATAGGTCCCCAACACCAAGAGATTATCGTTAGAAACGAACGTTATGAGCACAATGTCGATCGGAACAATCAACAGTGGCTGTCAGTCTCGATAATTCAATTTACTTACAGCCATAACTTAGCTGGAATATTGCTGACTGCGGCGGACAACATCCACTTAGTTTGTTAGTTAATTCGTAGCTTAACGCCACACTCAGCAATATGCCAGCTATATGACGGCGGCCTGTAAGTAATCGAGTCTGGACCAGACAATGTTTGGCATCATGAGCATCGATCCACGCAATTGGGATACGATGACATGCATCATTCATCTCAGTGAGCCTGACCACCCGATCCCATTAATCGCCGCTTACAACAAGCATAGTCGCCTTTTACGGCAAGCATGGGTTGCTGAAGACCTATTCTACCCCGGATCGTCACCGGTTGCACCCATTCAGGCCATGTCAAGAGGGAGTTATTTGTTTCTGCAAAGCCAGTTGATAACAATGGTAGATGTTTAATTTGAGCATCTTTACTTGAGCTTCAGACATGACTATCGTTTCACTGAACCTTTTGCCAATTGATGTGACGGGTGATATATTAGTGCTTACCTTTATTTACGCCATGTCCCCGCGTCCAGACAACCCTCCTCAAGTTAGCGCTGACCGGTGATATTGACAGGATTTTGTTCGGCTCTATGGTGTATGGGTAGATCACCACCGGACGGCCGTTGACGGTTATCTACAAACAAATATCACGACAATTTACACTTGCAGGTTATAAATAACAATATCAACATTATGTCTATAAAACAGTCGGCACTCATAACATGACAAAAAAGAATGCTCAATAAAGGAATGACCCTCCCTTTGTATCAGTTCACTGAAGCAAGAGTGAGTGAATGTTGTTAAATGCGGCAGTCGGTATTATCAAATCCATAACAAATGATTGATATAATGAGCAACGTTGAACGCTGTCGTGAGTAGCATGACACGTAATCATCCAAGTCAACAAGCATGACCACCTGATCGATGTTAATTGTCAAGCAAAGTTTACTGTTAACTGTTTACAGTGCACACTTATATAAGGATTTTCTTATGTAGTACACACTTACGTACATACAGATGTTTTCCTGCAGTACACACATGCGTACATACAGATGTTCCCCTGCAGTAAACACTTATATACAGATGTTCCCCCGCAGTTTATACTTACATACAGATAATCCCCCGCAGTCTACACTCACATATAGATGTTCCCCTACAGTCTATACTTACATACAGATGTTCTCCTGCAGTACACACGTACATACAGATGTTCCCCTGCAGTGTAAACTTACATACAGATGTTCCCCTGGAGTCTACACTCACATACATATGTTCCCCTGCAGTCTATTCTTACATACAGATGTTCCCCTGCAGTCTATTCTTACATACAGATGTTCCCATGCAGTCTACACTTACATACATATGTTCCCCTGCAGTCTATACTTTCATACATATGTTCCCCTACAGTCTATACTTTCATACAGATGTTCCCCTACAGTCCATACTTTCATACAGATGTTCAGCTGCAGTACACACTTACATACAGATGTTCCCCTGCAGTCTATACTTACATACAGATGTTCCCCTGCAGTACACACTAACATACCGATGTTCCCCTGCAGTCTATACTTACATACAGATGTTCCCCTGCAGTACACACTAACATACAGATGTTCCCCTGCAGTACACACTAATATACAGATGTTCCTCTGCAGTACACACTTACATACATATGTTCCGCTGCAGTACACACTTACATACAGATGTTCCTCTGCAGTACACACTTACATACAGATGTTCTCCTGCAGTACACACTTACATACAGATGTTCCCCTGCAGTACACACTTACATACATATGTTCCTCTGCAGTACACACTTACATACAGATGTTCCTCTGCAGTACACACTTACATACAGATGTTCTCCTGCAGTACACACTTACATACAGATGTTCCCCTGCAGTACACACTTACATACAGATGTTCCCCTGCAGTACACACTTACATACAGATGTTCCCCTGCAGTACACACTGACATACAGATGTTCCCCTGCAGTACACACTTACATACAGATGTTCCGCTGCAGTACACACTTACATACAGATGTTCCCATGCAGTACACACTTACATACAGATGTTCCCCTGCAGTACACACTTACATACAGATGTTCCCCTGCAGTCTATACTTACATACAGATGTTCCCCTGCAGTCTATACTTACATACAGATGTTCCCCTGCAGTACACACTTACATACTGATGTTCCACTGCAGTACACACTTACATACAGATGTTTCCCATGCAGTACACACTTACATACAGATGTTCCTCTGCAGTACACACTTACATACAGATGTTCTGGCAGTAGGGTAAGGACCACGTGCCATTCTTTTCCCGACTTGAGGGAACTGACGTCGCTGGCGGGTACCGTATTTCCTGTTGTGACGTTTGGATTGAAAAAGTAAACCTCCAACTGTTTGGTTGATGAGACGTAGTTCAAAACTATACCATTCTCTGCCAGGTCGTCGGTAAACTTGAGTTTTGATCTACAAAAATGATAAAACTGTCGACTAGGAGATTATTGTCCAAGGGGTTTGAAAAATCGACACACGCATGATGACTGTCGATCTTCGTCAAAGAGGATCATTTCGTTATACTGGTGTATTGTTGAGAATAAATTTTGAGGTCATCTGTTGGTCATGACGCAATAAATGGATACAATTTATCAGAAGAATACGTTGACATCAGTGAAGTGTTGTCATTTCATTTCTGACCTTCTGCTTGAGTTCAGAACCATTGCTGTACCGACGATGTGTGATGCTTCTTGTTTCTTGTTTAAGGTGAGATCATGTAAACGTCGCGTTCCAGAGTATTGCACTTATATAGCGACGAGCTTGTACGTGTGTGTGGCGGCTTGTACTAGTCAGGACTGATGCCGATTTATTGTGCTAGCCCACTGAGATACCATGCCGCAGTTTAACATGAAACACAGGCATTATGCATAATGACTTAATCTTTCACGTCTTGCAAAGTTGTTTGCACTTCGGTAGAATAGCGGTGAGCGGCGCTCGCTGATCAACCTGTTCCATTTCTTCACTTAGGTACAATAGGCGAAAGCCAATAAGTATTATTGTCACCGGCGTAAAACGATTGCAGGTTTGTAAAGTTGGTACAACCAAACTCACTCACACACCCAATCCACTAGCGAAATAAAACTTAAGTATATCCAACACAACCCTGTTCTATAAGATATATTGTACTTCTCACCTAATACCAAAAGACACCATTACGGCTAAGCTGAAGCTACCAGTCCCGGTGTCATCAGGTAATGAGCGTTAGTGAAGGAAACTTATTTGTTGACATGTCTTACGTTGTTCCTTGAGGTGTCACCCATACTTCCAGTGCATCACCGATGTTCACAGGGCATTGCAGTTCCACCATGGACATCTGTAAAGAGGGACAGAAGAAGACGAATTGGTTCTTATTGCATACTTACTTTGACACACACAGTACAGTTTAACATACTTACAGGGGCGGTCGGGTAGCCTTGTGGTTAAAGCGTTCGCTCGTCACGCCGAAGACCCGGTTCGATTCCCGACATGGCTACAATGTGTGAAGCCCATTTCTGGTGTCCCCTGTCGTGATATTGCTAGAATATTGCTAAAAGCGGCGTAAAACCCAACTCACTCACTCACTTCATAATAAACACACGTACAACTGTTGCTCAGCGTCGGGCGTTTAGCAACATACTGCACGGTCAAACAATACGACAGCTGTTGCTCTTCCTTCGTGATGTTCGACCCACGGCGACGCCATTGCACGCCCCAGACCGTCCATTCATCCCTAGCAACTCGGTAAGCACGTTATTGCATGTCTTGCAGTTGCTGCAGTTTGCTGACTTTATTGGCGGAAACATACGTGCTCTGCACCACAATGCACTTATGTAATATTTAAACAACGTGATTAAACTGAACAAAATTTATATTAAAACTTAAATACAAATCTTACTTATTGCTGCGAGGGATTTGGGAATGACACACACTAAATGGATAATAAAATGTGACTCATTTACACCTAACCTGTAAATTTTAGGGCTGGTTTATTATGTTTAAAACGTATTTCGTCTGTTAACGTAGACAATAAGGGGGCAGCCTTTCAGTTTGTCATGTTCGTGCATTTCAATTTACGGGGCCGCTTTTTACAACTTTGATTTTAGAGCCATCTCCAACAAAAACAAGATTAGTCTTAAATTCGGCATCTTAGAAACATAATATAGGCTTGCTCTACCTACACGGGGTAGAGAGAAAGTTCGAGATAAGCGATGTCATGGAACACTCACACCCACACGTTCAAAGACAGCCTGTTTACAGACAATGTCGGCGTCCGGCCAACCTGAACTAGAGTTGCAGTTGATTGTGGTCCTCCCGCTACACAGGGCAAACCCCTCCTGGCACCGGTAGGTCGCTGTTGCCGCCGTGGCCGAGTGGGAGACCTGGACAGAGGCACCCCCGGGGAGAGGGGGGCGGGGACAGTCGAATGGGGACCAGTCGGAGATTACCCCTGAAGCGGAGAGTAAAACACAGATATTACACCTATTTATTCACTATTGGAGCCAACGTAGCATAGTGTACAATATGAGTTGACGAATGAAAGTAATATTCAGCTGCAGTCTACAATATTCCAGTTATATCACGGTGGCTTGTACATAATAAAGTGTAGACCAGACAAACCAGTGATTGAAAGCGTGAGCAGCAACACGCAGTCACCCAGAACCAGACAAACCGATTCCATGTCTACAGCTGCCTCTCACGACAAGCAATAGGGTGTTGGGGTATAGTATTTTTTGGATTGAGTAAAATATGATCGATCATGGTCCATGTACGTGTACCCAAGGAAAATGATGAAGGTACGGCTATACAAGGAAATTGGTTATTTACCCGAAGATAATTCCGAGGTGACTGTGTAATATTGATATCAGGTTCGGTTTGTTTGTTTGTTGTTTAACGCCGCACTCAGCAATATTCCAGCTACATGACAGCGGTCTGTAAATAATCGAGTCTGGACCAGATAATCCAGTAATGGACAACATGAGCAGTGATTCACGCAATTGGGATCGATGACGTGCATCAAAATATAGATATCAGGTTCGGTTTGTTTCTTTGTTGTTTTACTCCGAACTCAACAATATTCAAGCTATATGACGGCGATCTGTAAATAATCGAGTCTGGAACAGACAATCTAGTGATTGATATCATGAACATCGATCCACGCAATTGGGATACGATGATATGCATCAACCAAGTCAGCGAGCCTGACCACCTGGTCCTGATAGTCGCCTCTTCCGACAAGCATAGACGCCTTTTTCAACCCACAGCATGGGTTGCTGAAGACCAATGCTAACCCGGATCTTCACGGGTCAGATGTCAAGTACCAACATAAGAATCAGTAATGGTATTGTTCACATGGCACATTTGTGAAAGACAGCTATTTAACCATATGATTAACCGTAACCCTCTGGTTAAACTTCACCCTCTGGGTGTCTTGGTGATGGGGATCGGGGTGGTTGTTAAACTGCGGAATAAATGTTTCTCCATTCTTTGAGCAAATATCTGGCATTGGAATTCATGTGGGGTGCTTTATGTTTCCATGCAGTGCAATTTGTTGTGAAGTTTGTTTAAGGTGTTAGTTCTTGTTTTAGGGGATTGTGACCTATTTAAGAATCTCGGGCTGTTTTTTGTCAAACGTGGTTCCTAGCTTGTGGGAGACACGGGTAGCCCAGTCGTCTAAGGCGCCGCGATTCGCTGTGCAGAGTTGCGTCCCTTGGTTACGCAAGAAACCTATGATCGTCGGTTCGAATCCCGGTTCGCCCCGATTATGTTTCTAGGTTTGTCAGCACCATGCCCGTGCTCGTGGGTTTCACCGAAGTGGTAAACGTCTGAGACCTGCAACACTTCGGGCTTTCATCCCACATTAAGCTGACACGCCGTGATATAACTGGAATACTGTTAAAAGCGGCGTAAAACCTAACCCACTCACTCACTCCTTGCTTGTGGAAGTTGCATGAAAATTATTGTCTTGGCTTTTGTACAATATATATAATCTTCATTACAGGCTATGTAAACAAGGCGACAAAAACATTCTTTAATAATCAGAAAAAAATTATTCTAAAATTCATGTGTACGATTCCGACCATATCAAAAGCATGTGTCAATGATTCAGTATCAAACAGTGATGATACCAGGTGTGCGCGAAAAGGTCCGTACCTTGTATTGTTGGTTTTGATACAAAGACTTCCACTTCACACATCGTCATTGAATCACTGGCATCCAGTTTCTTCATACTACGGATCTTGACATAGCGACCAAAGACGTCAGGCAGACAGTCCAGCACCTGGCGTTTACCGTGGGGGAACTGTCCAGGGTGGGAGAAGCAGGACTTGGCGGGTGTGGCAGGGTAGAGTGTCGGGTCGTGCATCAATACCTCCACCTCAAAGTCGTGGAGAAACTTCTCTGCATCAGAAGACATGTCCAGAGCGTGAAATTATGAAGACAGGGAGAGACTTTGTATCGTCATCATTCCAAACCATACAGAATTAATGGGTCTACATGACGTTTCACATATCAAGTCTTTGAATGGCATTACGAAGTACAAAAACACACCAAAGCTTTATTGTCTGTGCTAATTATCCTTCTGTCATCCATTTGTCCGTTGTCATTACAATTGCTGTTACATATCAGTGCTAATTACCCCCTCCTTCCGTTTGCCCATTGACCCAATGTCCATTGTCAATTACCAATCAGCGATAATTTGGTTTAAACATATTTATTTTCACAAAAGTGTGAAAATGGATTGGTAAACAAGCGAAGCGCTTATGTTAATACCGCTCCATTACACATAGGACATATTACAATGAATACATAAATGAAGGTTAGATGTAACAAATAAATTGTACATGCCAAGCTAGATGTGTACATTTAATACATCTATTTGCAGTTTATTTTAAACAATCATTTAACTGAAAATCTGCCAGTTTTTAATATAAAGTGTTGAATAGAATCTAATATTAGCGTTTGCTCTTCCTTACTCAAATCCGAATTTCCGCATAGAACTGTTTGTGAAGAATAACCATGTTGGTAAAAATACATTAAATTTTCATTTCGAAGTCCTCTAATTAACTGTGAAGTGTTCCCTATCTGTTGTCAATAGCTTTCACCTATCAGCAGCAATTAAATGTTGGCTTCCCTTGTTAAGTTTCCACCTTTGTTATCGTGTTACTTTCTTGTTCTTACAGATACAATAATACGTTCTCTGCTTCATAGCATTTATTCACCAGATGAAGCAGTAAGTATATATATATCGAAATGTTGTGTTTACTTTCCGTCATTTGATCAAATGAGGAAGTGAGGTATCTCTGTAGGGAGGTCACAAGTCACACGTTGGGAACATAAAAAGGGCTCGGGACGTTTTTAGTCAGGTCGACGTCCAGACTCACCGCAACCCGCACACGTCTTCTTGTGTGTTATAGCCAGCCTGTCGATGTAGTAGTATGCCTGTAGGTCCACCTGCCACCATGGGTTAGGGTCCTGGGCGGACACTTGCCAACACGTCGTGCTACTGGCGGTAGGGGAGGGGAGTCCGTCCACCACTCTTCCCGCAGGGCTTCCGGTAGTTGAAGACCCCTTGGCCGGCTTCTGAAGTGCAACGTTCCTGCTGATGGGTTCTGTAACGATCCATGAATACAACGTTACATTTTGTACACGCTTGTATGAACAGTCTTAAAAAATCGAATCATTTTAATTGATTGATACATCAACTATATAATTCCTATGTTATCATTCAATAGTAACAAATGATGAAAATATACATTTATACTAACGGTAAGGTGACGTGAAATGGGGTTTAACGTTGCGTCCAAAATTATTGCACTTATATAGCGACGTGCATGCACGTGTGTGTGTGGCTGCTTGCAGTAGACCGGACTGATGCCGATTTATAGTGCTACCTCACTGAGATGCTGCAGTTTAACACAAATACCCTACTCAGACACAGTATACTGACTCCGAGCCGACCAGTCCTTGTATTAGCTCCTTAATGCAGAGCACCAAACAGGGTAACAACAAGTCCCATCTTTTAACGTCTTTTGGTATGACGCGGCCGGGAATCGAATCCCGGACTTTCCGCTCTCCGGGCGGACGCTCTACCACTAGACCACGGAGGCGGTCTTATACTTACGACAGAGATGGAGAAATATGTCTTTGTATGGGTGGTTGTCATCATTTGATTTTTGTGAACTCGTGTGTCTGGCAAAAAGACAAGGAAGACGAATTCTTCTTGGAGAAAACCTACCTTTACCAGCACCTTGCATAGTACATTGATGACACCGGGTGTTCATGAATAGCATGTGAATGTCTAGTCATGTCAATAACAATTGTACTGTGTTACATAGTACGTCATTAAACACCTGACAAGTTGATATCTTCATGACTTTATCAGTTACAGGATCAGATAAACTTATTGTTTGTCAACATGCATCGCGTTTGTTTATTTGTTTGTTGTTAAACGTTAAGTGTTCCAGTAACGTGATGGGACCGCTTCCGTGGTCTTGTGGTAGAGCGTCCGCCCGGAGAGCGGAACGTCCGGGGTTGGATCCCCGGTCGCGTCATACCAAAAGACGTTAAAAGATTGTACTTGTTGTTACCCTGTCTGGCGCTCGGCATTAAGGGGCTAAAGCAAGGACTGGTCGGCTCGGAGTCAGTATACTATGTCTGAGTGGGGTATTCATGTTAAACTGCGGCATGGTATCTCAGTGAGTTAGCACTATAAATCGGCATCAGTCCGGACTAGTACAAGCAGCCACACACACACACACGTGCAAGCACGTCGCTCTATAAGTGCAATAATCTTGGATGCGGCGTTAAACCCAAATTCACCTCACCTCACCAGTTACGTGATGGCTACCTGAAAATAATCGAGTCGATACTCGACAATCCAGTGATCCACGTCGCGGACCAAGCCTCGTCCTCGCACGACAAACATAGGTTGCTGGGTATCAATCGAAACCAGGAATTTTGTTTTCTGATATGAGACGGCAAATCACAGTGTCGTTGATGCAGATTGAAAATTAATACTTCCCTCACAAAATGAACTATTGATTTTATGTTTGCAGGAGAAGTGTATGCCATCGCGAAATACATACTAATACATGTATTTACCTTTCTTAATTCCATTCAGAACTCCCTTGCTCAGTTTCAGTTTCCTCAGAGGCAGGTTGGTAAACTGTAGACGTTTAGCCTTCAGAGCGTCGAACACGTGGTCCACCTTCATAACCTCCTTCTCGTCTATTTCCAGCTGAAAGAAAAGTAATATCAGATTACCTTAAAAGTACAAATATTGACCTCGATTAAACTAACGTTTGTATAAAGTTGTTGCTGTGATATCAGTGTATTCATTTATCCTTCATTCATATTGCAATGAAAATTAATGTTTACTTGATACAACAAAAGCTACGACACTGATGTATATAGAGAGTTATCTACCCTTGACGTATACTTAATCTGGGGAAAAGACCTGATGCAGTCTCACGTTTTCTTAAATCAAGAAACCAAAATGAACCCTTTATTATTTAATACCAGTCAGATTGTAATTCTGATCGTTGCGCCTAAATAAATTGCTTTGCATTATTCAATTAATTTTATTACAAGCTTATCACAAAACCTTTTCTTTCGAAAACATTTTTTTTTTCGTTTTAGTCATAAAACAATTTGACAGCAAGTGAAAAAAAGAGCGATCCAAATTTTGTTCCTGAGTATATTGGAGGCAGTCAGAGTGAATCAAGACAAATGAAAGTCAACCATGACAGTAAAACGGAGATCCTGAAGCATAAAAGGGAGGTGATCCAACCTGTGATGGAGATATCTTTGTGTGGAACAGACCCGTCTCAGATTGTGGCCCCTGGGGGACGTGGGATATACTTCAGTGACATTTTGTGCCAAGTTATATGCATATAATCGCCAGAGTTAAAAGATTCAACAGTGTAAACAGACATTTAGGAAACTTGTCGGCCATCTTGAAATAGGAGGCCATCTTGAATTTTTTCAGACGTGTCAATAGTCGAAAACGATCAGTAGTTTTGAACATCTTTTTAGAAACATAATATGGCTATTTCGAAATACAACACATACTTTTTTTTCATCAAAACATTGAACCTCATCTGAAATATGGAAGATATATTGATAATTGGTGGACATATTGGATTAGGCAAATTAGACATATTTCCCAAACTGGGATTGCTTGGGACTTTTAGATTGTTATTTTCGGGACCTTGTAGAAATGCATTGTTGTGAAAACAAAATTCTGTTGCAATTTGTTCCAAGTGAAACCTTATTTTGCCTGGATTATTTATCATGAATGTGTCCGTTTTATCTGATTCTTGTGAGGCTCGGTTAAAATGGGGATCTGTTGGTCAGCCTCTGTGCTTGTTTATGGCGTTGAAGGATGCTCATGATCCAGGCACTGGTTTGTCTGGTCCAGACCCGATCATTTACCGACCGTCGTGATATAACTTGACTTTTGCAGACCGTGGCGAGAAACAATATTCACTCATTCATTCACACATTGTTACCAGTTCTAGAAAACTTCCTTACAACCCGACTACCCACATGGTACAATGTGTGAAGCCCATGTCATGTGTCCCCAGCCGTGATATTGTTCACAAATGGCTACAATCGGCGTAAAACCATACTCACTCACTATAACCATCATATCCCCTAATTCAACCGTCTTTTGGAAAGCGGGGCAGAGTTGGAGCCCAACCTTTCGTGAGTGTGAGTGAGTGAGTTTTGGTTTTACGCCGCTTGTAGCACAATTCCAGCAATATCACGGACGGGGAACACCAGAAATGGGCTTCACACATTGTACCCATGTCGGGAATCGAACCCGGGTCCTCGGCGTGACGAGCGAACGCTTTAACCACTAGGCTACCCGACCGCCCCCAACCTTTCGTGTAATCGCCTCAGGGCTAAGAATACCTACATTACACTTACCACGATGTGTTCCGGGAGGAATGTGAACACGATGTGAGCTGGTTGATGGGGAACAAAGGGGAGTGTCTGGAGACGTTGATTCCCTAAGTGGTGACGAATATAGGCAAAGGGGACTGCAGCAGTGGTCGAATCCATGACGACCTCCATGGCTATGTTATTGTTGTCAATCATGACAGATATCTTCACGCTAAACAAATATCACCGTAGAGGGTATGATTCTGACAAGCAGTGTGTAATTAATTCAAAGTTGTGGTTAGAAATAAACATCGTTGAACTTGATTTATAACGTTTCGGTCACAAGCAAACAAATGCAATAGATACTAATGATAACAATAAATATCAATTTCGCTCATTTGAGCACATGTATCCTAAAAGCACAAGTCACGGTATTCGCCAAAGATTAAATTAAAGTATATAACATGTGGTAGTCGTAGCTACGACTATTGTAAGATTAAGCTGAAGTATTGGTCTTGTTGCAGACGTAGCTACGACTATCGTAAGATTCAGCTACAGTATGAGACAAATAGCAGTTGCAGCTACGACTATCGGCAGATGAAGTCAAAGATTTGTGGCAGACGTAGCTACGACTATCGTAAGATTCAGTCACAGTATGAGACATATAGCACTTGCAGTTACGACTATCGGCAGATGAAGTCAAAGGCTGGTGGCAGACGTAGCTACGACTATCGTAAGATTCAGCTACAGTATGAGACATATAGCAGTTGCAGCTACGACTATCGGCAGATGAAGTCAAAGACTTGTGGCAGACGCAGCTACGACTATCGTAAGATTCAGTCACAGTATGAGACATGTCGCAGGTGTAGCTACGACTATCGGCAGATGAAGTCAAAGACTTGTGGCAGACGCAGCTACGACTATCGTAAGACTCAGTTACAGTATGAGACAAATAGCACTTGCAGCTACGACTATCGGCAGATGAAGTCAAAGACTTGTGGCAGACGTAGCTGCGACTATCGTAAGATTCAGTTACAGTATGAGACATATCGCAGGTGTTACTACGACTATCGGCAGATGAAGTCAAAGACTTGTGGGAGACGTAGCTACGACTATCGTAAGATTCAGTTACAGTCTGAGACATATAGCACTTGCAGCTACGACTATCGGCAGATGTAGTCAAAGACTTGTGGCTGACGTAGCTACGACTATCGTAAGATTCAGTTACAGTATGAGACATATAGCACTTGCAGCTACGACTATCGGCAGATGAAGTCAAAGACTTGTGGCAGACGTAGCTACGACTATCGTAAGATTCAGCTACAGTATGAGACATGTCGCAGGTGTAGCTACGACTATCGGCAGATGAAGTCAAAGACTTGTGGCAGACGTAGCTACGACTATCGTAAGATTCAGTTACAGTATGAGACAAATAGCAGTTGCAGCTACGACTATCGGGAGATATGTCGTATACGAGGGATATGTATTCACTGATTCAAAGTGTACTCACTCAGGAGACTGCGGTGTGGCCCAGATCTCAAAGGATGTAAAAATCGTCAAAGGACAGCTGAACACAAACTCCGAAACCTGGAACAGCACACGGTCTAATCAGGAACACCACCGTCAAAGGTGATGTAGGAACCTCAAACACAGTTGCCAATACGTCGCTCATCATCTCAACTCTCTGACTCTTGTTGCCTGTTTCTACCCTTTTAGCTAGCTGAACAGCACTCTGTTGCAATCACATATTTTTTGTTTCCTACTAATGTAAGCTGTTTAATTATCATTTTAATTTATATTTAAATTATAATTTATTTTTTACTAATCTTAGTTATATGAATCTGTAACTATCTTTTTAATGAGTATTGTTTCACAAATAATAAAGAAATGGCAAACAGAAACGATTGATGAATACAGCGAAGAGAAAAATTAAGTACTCTGAAAAAAAAAGTCAGTTACCGTTATACTTAGTTTTTATTCAATCTATCCAGTATGTCTGCTTACACTATCGTTCTCGTCATATTCGAGCTGTGAAGGGGAACATTTTAGGGAGGCACCCGTCCACACTTGACCCTTGGAACACCTCATGACTCCCTTGCTGACGTTACCACAAGACATGGAATTGGCGTTGCACGTGAGTGTAGCAATGGCGTCAGTGTCGGTGTAAGTCAAGGTCATCAAGCTGTTCTTGGGCGCAGTTGGAGCACCGCAGTCAAAGGGAGACCACTCTGTTAACAGGGGTTGCGAACCTGAACTTTACTCATCAAGGCGTAACCAAACATCATCCAAATACTTATACTACTGTTCAATACAAAAGTCCTCAAATACAAAAGTCCCATCGGCCACGACTGAAAAGCATACAATGTGTATGGATACAAATTGTAATAAACATCAGAATTGAAAAATATGTATATTTCTTGTAATTTGAAGAAATATGCCATGGCGTGACAACATAATAACTGACACTGGAAGATAATCTCCAGCAAACGTACTGTGATGTTGGTTACATATTTCACTTCCTAGCAGAGCAATCATACCAATTGACCACCCAGTAACCACATTCAGAAACAAGTGAGTTCATGACAGGCAAGATAATACATAGTACATATTTCACTCCCTAGCAGAGGAATCATACCAATTCCCTATCCAGTAACCACATTCAGAAACAAGTGAGTCCATGCAATGCAAGATAATACATAGTACATATTTCACTCCCTAGCAGAGGAATCATACCAATTCCCTATCCAGTAACCACATTCAGAAACAAGTGAGTCCATGCAATGCAAGATAATACATAGTACATATTTCACTTCCTAGCAGTGGAATCATACCAATTGACCACCCAGTAACCACATTCAGAAACAAGTGAGTTCATGCAAGGCAAGATAATACATAGTACATTTTTCACACACGTTTAAGGGTAAGTCTGCTTCCGTAAACTCCCACTTCACAAAACGTAAGCAGGTCGTTGGTGTTCTGCCCGGCCTTGGGTTTAATCCTGACGTATCTCCCCAACACCTCCTTGTCACAGGCCAGTTTCTGGGTGTCTCCATCTGACATCGCGCCATGGTACATGTGACAGACCTCTTCTCCGTCTGACCTCACCGTGATCTCAAAGTCATGTGACCTCGTAGCTGTAATAATGAGCCAACACGATGCTTATTACGTTCATAGTCAGGAATATGGATGAGATATAGATACACGCTATTATTGTAATTGTTTAAACGATGCCTTTTCTTATTTGATCATGGTTCTTTTTTATTACAGTCCCATAGAACGATTATGGGCGGTTGGTTGGGACAAGTCAGTGGAGAAATTACAGTCGCATTCCCAGCTACCACTCGATGACAAAATTCATCAAAGCCTGGACTGTCCGCCAAGACAACGGGAAAGCAATAACATAATGATATTATATTAAGTGAGTGAGTGTGGTTTTCGCCGATTTTAGCAATATTCCAGCAATATCACGGCGGGGGACACCAGAAATGGGCTTCACACATTGTACCCATGCGAACGCTTTAACCACTAGGCTACCCGACCGCCCCGATGTTATATTTCCAAGTATTTACTATATATACTCACAACAAGGGCCGGTACAGTTGATGGTTGTGATGACAACGCTGTTGACGTAGTAGTAGCCGTGTAAGTCTACCTCCCAGTACACGTTGACGTCGGCTGCGGTGTGTGACCAGCAGGTGTTGTCGGCCCAGACGGGAGAGGAGTTGCCGTCCACGAGCCAGCCAGGTTGAGATCCATCTTTGTCCGAGCTGGATGTAGCGGGTTTGTTCAAGGCAAGGTTTGTACTGACTGACTCTGAAAAATACATGATTGTTTAAAGGTGAATGAGTGACATGGAGTTCCAGTGTTTCAGTGTTCGCAGAATTGTGTCTCTTAGTCGTGCAGGATCCTATATTCGTTCTGATAATGATCTTCGGTTTGATGCTCATGGTTTTGACCAGGGTGGTTTGTGTGTTTGTCAACTACTAATTTGTTAGATAATACCAGACACCGTGTGAATCATATCCAGTCGAAGTCGAGGATGCTTACATCCCAATGTGCAATATCTTCACGTATAATTGTTCTTACGAATCTTTCAGCTCATCCTCCCACCCCAGCACAGTATATTTTATCTCCGTTATATCATGAAAATAGATCAAATGTAATGTACTGGTGCATATAGGATGTAATATACTGGCTAATCAAGAATGAAATTCCCAATACCACAGGCATATAACGCCTGGCTCACAACAAACGATCTTCGTATATTGTATTCACGTAGACGTTCAGATCCAGGTCTTGTGACAAGTGGACGATTTAACCACTAGATCGCCCAACTATCACTTAAAGTTAAGATATTTTTAAAGATGAATCTGGTCTGTCTTGTTATGTAGTTCTGACACATGTATCCAAAACACTTATCTTTTTTGGCGGAAACTTTACCACTAACCTTTCGTGATGGCGTCGTTCATTGCTATCAAAACCTTGCGATTGTTAAAGCCATACGTGGTGAGCGCGCCGTGTTTATGGGCTGGCTGGTTGTGTGGATACTTCATGACGAGAACATCGTCAATCTCAACCTGGAGCACATGAACCGGAACACACAGATGTCAGGAACACAAGAACCAAACATACAGCGATGTTAAGAACGCAAGAACCAAAAACACAGCGATGTCAAGAACGCATGAACTGTAAACCCAGAGTTGCCAAGAACAAGAACTGAAAGAACAGAGATGTCTAGAACACGAGAACTGAAAACACACAGATGCCCGGAACATGAGAACTGAAAACACACAGATGCCCGGAACACGAGAACTGAAAACACAGAGATGTCTAGAACACAAGAACTGAAAACACAGAGATGTCCGGAACACGAGAACTGAAAACACAGAGATGTCCAGAACACGAGAACTGAAAACACAGAGATGTCAAGAACACGAGAACTGAAAACACACAGATGCCTGGAACATGAGAACTGAAAACACACAGATGTCCAGAACACGAGAACTGAAAACACAGAGATGTCCAGAACACGAGAACTGAAAACACACAGATGCCCGGAACACGAGAACTGACAACACAGAGATGTCAAGAACACGAGAACTGAAAACACACAGATGCCCAGAACACGAGGACTGAAAACACAGAGATGTCAAGAACACGAGAACTGAAAACACACAGATGTCTGGAACACGAGAACTGAAAACACAGAGATGTCCGGAACACGAGGACTGAAAACACAGAGATGTCCGGAACATGAGAACTGAAAACACAGAGATGCATGCCCAGAACTCGAGAACTGAAAACACAGAGATGTCAAGAACACGAGAACTGAAAACACACAGATGTCTGGAACACGAGAACTGAAAACACAGAGATGTCCGGAACACGAGAACTGAAAACACAGAGATGTCCGGAACAGGAGAACTGAAAACACACAGATGTCTGGAACACGAGAACTGAAAACACAGAGATGTCCGGAACACTAGAACTGAAAACACAGAGATGTCCGGAACAGGAGAACTGAAAACACACAGATGTCCGGAACAGGAGAACTGAAAACACACAGATGTCTGGAACACGAGAACTGAAAACACAGAGATGTCCGGAACACGAGAACTGAAAACACAGAGATGTCCGGAACACGAGAACTGAAAACACAGAGATGCCCAGAACTCGAGAACTGAAAACACAGATATGTCCGGAACACGAGAACTGAAAACACAGAGATGTCCGGAACAGGAGAACTGAAAACACACAGATGTCTGGAACACGAGAACTGAAAACACAGAGATGTCCGGAACACGAGAACTGAAAACACAGAGATGTCCGGAACAGGAGAACTGAAAACACACAGATGTCTGGAACACGAGAACTGAAAACACAGAGATGTCCGGAACACGAGAACTGAAAACACAGAGATGTCCGGAACACGAGAACTGAAAACACAGAGATGTCCGGAACACGAGAACTGAAAACACAGAGATGCCCAGAACTCGAGAACTGAAAACACAGATATGTCTAGAACACGAGAACTGAAAACACAGACATATCAAGAACACAAGAACAAAAAACACTGACATGTCAAGAACACAAGAACAGAAAACAGACATGACAAGAACACAAGAACATAAAACGGATATGTCAAGAACACAAGAACAGAAAGTAAAACATGTCAAGATGACAAGAACAGAAAACACAGGCATGGCAAGAACACAAGAACAGAACACAGACATGTCAAGAACACAAGAAAAGAAAGGGAAACGTCACGAAGCAGACTTAACAAGCATGTAATATTCAGTCCCGTCTTACAGTGGTCTGTGACTAATTGTATCCAGGTCAGAAACACCAGTATGATTAACCATTCACATCAGTGATACACAAGATCTAATGAACACAGTCAGTTGACATACTGAGGACCTGTTCAGCCTCTGAATCCCCATTGGGAGACAGTGTAGCCCCTCATGCATGATGTTCCTAACGTAGGGAAACGAAGGCCAACAACGATAAGCCTATCATAGACACACGAACACGCACTTCTGAATCGGAACGTGATTCCACTCACCTGTAGGTAGTCACTGAGAAACGTGTATACGAAATGGTACTCCACATCAGTTCTGATTGCTGGGAAGTTCACTTTAAACGGCTGTTGTGGCTTAAAACCGTCTTTGAAATGAAACAGTCCGGGACTGTTGAGATCAAGACTCAAACTCATGACTGTAGGTACTTGCTTTGTCTGCAGGAACACGGCGGGCTTCCTGAAATATTTAACCAGGTTCAAAAGGTGCATTAATTTTACTCCCGTTGGGAATAGGATTTCACTTTTTAACGGGCCACGTGGTATCGTGTGTCCAAGGATGTAACGCGTAAATGGACTAAACACAGTCCGCTTTATTTCTGCATAAGAAACTGTTCATTGTTGAAATTCCTTGGTTGCCTAAAAGCCCATAAGATGTTAGACATCCATGTCTTGTAATGTTCTACTGTCTGAAAGAGAGTTTGCTGAGTCTTGGTTATAGCATAACGATAAGAGTCTTACATCGCTGTGAAGCGTTGCAGATATTATCTTTTGAAAGACCGGGATCAAAAGCCACAATTATAAAATAAAATAAAATAGTTTCAATGTACTTTTATTTTAAGACAGCTCCATCTTTGATGAATTAAAAAAATAAAAGACAATAAACAAAAAACTGATACAAAATCAAAGAAGAAACATTTCTATGGAATGCATTGTATGTGTGTCTCTGGACTCTACAAACCTCCAAATGTGAACGAAGCTTTCTCAGAAGCAAATACATGTCAGCTTGAATACAAAGAGCCCTGCACAGAATAAACGTTTGTCTTCCTTCTCAACCGACCGAACCATAACAATCACGCAAGCAAAGATTCTTTTGTTTTCGTGAACTGCACATATTCATGTCGCTTTGGTCACAAGTCCATATATCATTTTATGGTTAACGGATAGTACGAAATGTGAACCAACACTTACGATTTCATCCCGTCAGGTGTTGTCCACAGGTGAAGACTTGAGCCGAGTTTAATAGGACACTTGAAGTCGTACCTGGTCATCTGAAAACAGAAATATTTAGTAAATAGTAACAACTGTTGCCGATTTATCTCAACGCTTCTCTGCAAAGTTGCGGAAAATAATTCTTTTTACGAAAAGGTTGCTCAATGTCGGGTACGGATAGAATATAATACAGTCAAGTCTCGTTAATCCGACAATCGGCTGTATCCGAGACAAATGATGGGAACCGATTAAATCAGTGCTATTTAGACCCGTTAATCCGACAGTCTCGCAGTCCGACTCCGACACACCTAATTTGCAACGAATTGCAGAAATCACTCATTAATCTCGTTAATCCGACACAGTGATCAGCGTACTCCGTGGTCATCTGTCCGCGAGTACACAGCCCCATGTTTTGCGAGACATGTCGGCGAGTAGCTGCATATTTCAACTTGCTTAACCAAAAACAATTACTGCTTTAAATAAACAAAACAGGATTTATCACATGCCTAGATTACCTCAATCTCATTAAAATCGGATACAAGTTCTCGCTACCGCTGAGGACACCCCATTACAGGTCATGTTAGAAAGACCTTTCGCGAACTTTGACCGACCAATGAAATTACTAACAGGAAGTCGCCATTAGCCACTAAGAAAACAGCTTTCTTAAGCCTTGCGGCACTAGTTTCAAATTGGCGACTTCCATTCCAGACTTTGCTATGATTAGGGCAAAATACGTTTAGAAGGGCGGGACAACTCACCGCGCCAAACACCATCGGTTGACATGACTCTGGCTGTCCCTGCCATCCGGAACTGCTGTTACAACGTACGACGTTGTCGTCACTGCACATGGCGTAGCCGTCGTCACAGACGTAGGTAGCCACTGCCTCGTCCAGGGAGTGGGATATTTGAACCGCCATGTTCTCCAGCAGAGGGGGGAAGGGACAATCTTTAGGTGACCAGAGTTTTTTCTCCGCTGGAATCGGGATTTCTTTTTAATATATTGGTGTCATGCCTTCCAGTTTTTTTTATTGTAATGCAATCGTTTAGAATGTGACAGTTTATGGTTCTTGTACAAAACATTATTTGCTGTCAACTCCGTTCAAACAAGAAACGGATAATTCAGGACAATATGGGATTTTATATAGCGCTGCATTATTTGGTTGTAGAATTGTTTTAAGTCACACTCTAAGTAGCACAACATATCACATGAGATGGGAATATTTCGTAGGAATCAATTGTCAAAGGATGATATAAGGGATTTAAATGTATCAAAATTCGGATTTACATAAAACTACCGACATATATATTTATTCAAATTGTTAGTAAGTAACTGGTATTTGTCATTCATTGAATTTGAATGACACTGTTCACAAAAACCTATTTATCAATTTGTCAATCAATAATTTAAAGATTTTAAAACCCCATATCGAAACTGTACATTCGCTTTTCTAAATTTTGACCAGTTAGTATCAAAACGATACATTTTAGTGTTTTATGAGATTTAACCGTTTAAAGGAACCTTTTTACAGAGCAAGATGGAAATGAAAAACATTTATTTGAATACATGTCTTTTCGAGTTTGCCTTATCTAGTAGAAAATCAACCGACTCATTCAGAGCACATTGAAATATAGCCACTGATTATGGGGTTGAGATTAAGGGGGCGTTATGACAACATGGCACAGCGAAAGAGGGGGGTGGGGTAGCCAAAATTATAACAGCTATACGGGCCTAGGGGGGGGGGGGGGGGGGGGGGGGGGGCAAAAAAAGAGAAAATTATCTAGGGACTGACTCGTCATTTATTAATGAAAATTCGGGATAGGTATCATGAAAAAAATGGTACATAAAATGAGGCGGGGGTGAAGTTCTCGGAAGCTTATCGTCTTGACAAATATGATTTAACCAATATGTCATAACCGATATGACAGTAGCCGATGAGAATGGCTGTCATGTTATTGGACGGATGTTACTCACGTTTCAAAACATATCTATATCCCATCACTTCCACCTCACAAACTGTCAGTACATCAGTGAGGCTGTTCCTCAGGGTACCCCTGAGTCGGACGTACCGCCCCACGTGCTCCTCCCGGCACGGCTTGTACTGGGAATAGGAGATTGCGTGTTCCCCATTGACGAACTGGCACAGCCCGGCCTTCGCACTGGGATCCGTCACCGGATTGGTCATGTACACGTCCAGGGCGTAGTCATGGAGCCCGCCGCCTGCAATAGAAAGGTGGTGTCAGTTTGATAGGTCATAGAATGAGTGAATTGTGTTTAATGCTGCAGTCAGCAATAGTCCAGCAATCATGCCCGCGTGTACAAAATCAAATTCGACCAAGCAAGCGGTGACTGAAAACGTCACTGAGGTAAGAGCCATGCCACCTGGTAACGATTAGACGCAATCGGTCAATTCACAGCCTCACCATCCCATTTTGTAAGCACGGGATACTCGGTACAAATTATAAATAACAATAATAATATTAATATTAATAATAATAATAATAATAATAGGCCTATTTATATTGCGCTATATCCATGGGAATGCTCAAAGCTACACTACCATTACCCCGGTGAATGGATCAGTGTACATTCAACCATCATTCTCAGCTCCTTGGGGAGTATACAACTCAAGCTGCATGTGAGGCGCTCGAAGGTTAACAACCAGCCATCTCTTCCTACCGGGTACCCACTCACAGCTGGGTGAACAGATGTACCTTTCGAACAAAGTCACTTGCCGAAGGAGACGCCACATGTGTTACGTATACATGAGCTTCAGTGTGGGGCAGGACCGAAGCCCTAGAAACTCTCAGGAGCCAAGCTGCCAAACACAGTCACCCATCCAAGTACTCTCTGCTACCAACGTTGCTTAACTTCACCTGTTTTGTGACCTGTGCGCTGTGCACGGGTCCATGTGCCGCAGAAACTAGTCTGCCCGAACCACGTCTGTTCATCGGCCTTCCGCCCATATTAAAATACAAAGCCATGATACACTCACACACACATATAAAAAAGGCCTTTAACGATTCACTCAATCACTTAGTCCCTCCCAAAAGGTTATTGGCAACTTAACCCTCTTTTCGAAACGGGATATGTGTCGTTTCTGTGTGACCTACACGACCTACCACAGCCACCCGCCGGGCACCCTTCTCCATTACGGCTTGTGACGACAACAGCTGTGACGATGTAGTAGTTTTGGATGTCCACCTGCCAATAGGGTGCCCAGTCACTGGCGTCCGACTGCCAACAAGACCCCGGCCCTGTGGCCAGGGATCGTCTCGACCCGTCTACCACAAGCCCAGAACGTTCCGCGTTGGACGATGCTGTAGTCGGCTTTCTCAACGAAAGGTTGCGACTGGATTCTGTGGTGGAAAAATAGTATATCATACAACAACATTCACTAGAGTTAAACAAATGACTTAATCTATAGTTTAATCCATATGTTTCATTTTAACCTACGTGTTTGTAAATGATATATGTCATTTGGTTAACTTTGTCGAAGTTGGGCGGTGGCGTAGCCTAGTGGTTAAAGCGTTCACTCGTCATGATCACGCCGAAAACCTGGGATCGATTCCCCACATGGGTATAATTTCTGGTGTCCCAGGCAGTGATATTGCTGGGATATTGGTAAAAGCGGCGTCAAACCGACTCACTCTGTCTAAGACACACGTGGTGTCTCCTTAGACAAGTGACTTTGTTCGAAATGTGCCACTGTTCACCCAGCTGTGAGTGGGTACCCGGTAGGATGAGATGGTAATGTGGCTGTTAACCTTCTAGCGCCTCACAGGCAGCTTGGGTTGTATACTCCCCAGGGAGCTGAGAATGAAAATCGTATGCTCACCGATCCATTGACCGGGGTAATAATAGTGTAGCGCTATGAGCATCCACTCGGTGAATGGAATCTGGCGCATTATAAATGTACTTATTATAATTATTATTATTATCATCATCATCATTATTAAGCATTGTCATTATGTGTCACTTTGTTTATTTCGGCATTGACACAACAGTAAGTAACCCAAGGTTTTGGGTTCAACCAACATCAACAAGGTCACGTTGAGGTAGGTTCGTGATGGCGGTCGATGTCATCGCCTCACCCACCTTTTGGGGAACTTGGTGAATTTCCCAGTTACTCAGAGATTCATGCAATGACACCAACAAAATCCCCACACAAAACATTTGACACACCAGAAGGTATTATTTCCTAGAAATAATAAATATCTTGTATGTTTAAGTTGGAAAAAGAATCATAGGGTTGGCCGGGGGGAAATAGGTCTGATACCGATCACTCATTGGTCGATTGGCATACGTGCTGACGTTAGGTAAACATTTTCATTTCTAACACCCCAACCCCACCCCGACTCTTTCTTGAGGTTGTCACAGTCAACACGTCCCCTGTCCCTCGGCTCACACCAACTCCAGATGTCATCTCAACATTTTGGAATTTCATATCGAGGGATAATTTACTAGTTTCAACAGTTCACATGACCATAACAATACACAACACAATCTGACGGCAGTCGTAACCCTTGAATATTGATACATAGTGTTCGCCATCAAAAGGTTCAAGGGATGACCATGGCAGGATGCAAAACCACTACTGCATTGCTTATTGAAGTACCATGTAGGTTACAGGGTTGGTAGTTCCATGTCTATCAATATGGTCGGAACCGTGGAGTCTCACGCTTTAACGTGTGTACTCATTTGAAACATGATCGTATTAAAGGATTAATTTTACAGTTGGTAAATAAATCTTTCCTCGTATCAAATATATACAGGAGTCGATAAAATATTTCATATTAAAATACTCTCGGTATATTTATATATCTTGTAATTTTCAAATGATCCATGTCAGCACCAATAAAACAACTTCGTACCTTTTTGGGTGGCCTTCGTCCAATCTTGATTGAGCATGATTTTCTTGATGGACAGTTTCTGGTCTTCAACAGCTATTCTGTCAATTAGCGGCGCTGGTACGTGATGGGGGACGGCCAGGAGGGACTCGTTGTCAACTAGAATCTGAAAACACACGGTTGACAGTACCGGTGAGGTGGTGAGGTGAAATTGGGTTTAACGTCGTGTCCAAGATTATTGCACTTATATAGCGACGTGCATGTACGTGTGTTTGTGTGGCTGCTTGTACTAGTCCGGACTGATGCCGATTTATAGTGCTAGCCCACTGAGATACCATGCCGCAGTTTAACATGAATACCCCAATCAGACACAGTTTACCGACTCCGAGCCGACCAGTCCTTGTTTTAGCCCCTTAATGCCGAGCGCCAGACAGGGTAACAACAAGTACCATCTTTTAACGTCTTTTGGTATGACGCGGCAGGGGATCGAACCCCGGACCTTCCGCTCTCCGGGCGGACTCTCTTCCACAAGACCACGGAGGCGGTCTTGACAGTACCGCCACAAACATATACATTGATAACTTTTTAATAAACTAAATTCAATCTTTTACACATCAAATGCTAGCGCCTTGGGTAGTTTCGGGGTGCAGAAGAGGTCACCCGAATTTATTGTTCGTATCCAGAACTGTTGTTGATGCTATCGGCCACTACTTTCATGACCACGAACTTATCACATGCTGCCGGACTATTGGAGTATTGCCACTGCGGCATCAAACAACATCACCTCACTTCCTTTTACTCTCGTCATTTCATTAAGAGGCGGGGCGGTCGGGTAGCCTCGTGGTTAAAGCGTTCGCTCGTCACGCCGAAGACCCGGGTTCGATTCCCAACATGGGTACAATGTGTGAAGCCCATTTCTGGTGTCCCCCGCCGTGATATTGTGGAATATTGCTAAAAGCAGCGTAAAACCAACTCACCCACTCATTAAGAGGCGACAATACTGATCAAGTGCGCTCGGTGCAAAGGTTGAATGTGTGGCATCGTACCCCGACGCTGTGTGACTATGCTCATAATATCAATCATTGGTTTGTCTCTGCAGGGTCGACTACCTACGGGCCGCCGTGTTATAGCTGCAGTGTTGGTTCTTGTCGCAGTTCACAGTATAAACTATGTAAGTCTTGTTCGGCAACGTTCCTAAACGTACGTACCTGCAGGTGTTCTGAGAGGAAGAGAAGGGTGATGTGAGACACGGTTCGACCCTGGAACGGCATGGGCGTGTCTGCAGGTATGGTGGTGGATATTCCATCCACTTCATAGGAGTATCGGATGTACGACCCCACAGCCGGCCACTCGAGGGTCATCTGTAGAGCCGTGTCATTGCCCGCCTTGAAGGCAATGTACGATCTGGATTGGAAACAGACATTCAATTACATAAATGACAATATTTACATGTTCGTTCGTTCGTTTGTTGTTTAACGCCGCACTCAGCAATATTCCAGCTATATGACGGCGGTCTGTAAATAATCGAGTCTGGACCAGACAATCCAGTGATTGACATCATGAGCATCGATCCACGCAATTGGGATACGATGACATGCATCAACCAAGTCAGCGAGCCTGGCCACCCTATCCCGTTAGTCGCCTCATACGACAAGCATGGTCATCCGCCTTTTACAGCAAGCATGGGTTGCTGAAGATTTATTCTAACCCGGATCTTCACGGGTTTAGTTATTCATGGAACACTTTCAAGTGATATTAAAAATGATAAAATGTATAACACGACAAATAAAGAAATGACAATATCGAAAGGCAGGGTGTTACTGTTTGTGGCATTAGGCAACACACACTGAGTGTTTTTGTGGAAAGTGTGTGAGTGGCGGGTGCTGCCGGTAGGCTCAGACATGCTTACACTTATTGCGAACACCATTGATGTATTCCAGTGATCCATTCAGATTAATTTCATCTCTGATGCATGTTTCTGCCGTTGACTTTTAAATTTATTCAGAAAGCGCTTTTTGATGTGGCTAGATGTAAATAGGAGTTACCTATTTTTCGTCCAAAAGGCTGTGCAGGAACCTATGATTGTGGGTTCGAATCCCAGTTCGCCCCGATTATGTCTCTAGGTTTGTCAGCACCATACCCGTGCTCGTTGGTTTCACCGAAGTGGTAAACGTGTAAGACCTGCATCACGTCGGGCTTTCCTCCCACATTAAGCTGACACGTCGCTATATAACTGTAATACTGTTAAAAGCGGCGTTAAACTCAACTCACTCACTCGTCCAAAAGGTGACAGTGAACAACATGAGCGACAGGTGTCGTCGGTGGGGAAGTGTACGCTCACCTTTTCACCCGGTATATTAAATACTTGATAGTGATTCATAAACACATGCTCATGATATAGACGGAATCGTACAATGGACTCTGCTTTTAGCAGATATTTCTTATAATTATAGGAATGATTTTGTCGCTTTTATTGTTCTGTAAATCGTGTTCTATGAACTATCTGGAAACGTTACCCGCTCTGTTTGGGTTCGACCCACACTTCATGTGCAAAGCCCACCTTCAACCGACATGGTAGTTCCACGGACCCAATCTGTGTACAGAAATAACATCATCAAGCGTACGTTTACAATGTTCTGGTTTCGTAAATTATTGAATTGTTGAAATGTCCTAAGATCGGTTAAAGGTTTCACAGTCAGTCAACAACGGCAGTGTGACAGTCAGCAAAAACATTACGTGATAGTGTCTCCTCCGTCTTTCAAGTATCTCTACCCCCACCGTTTCTTCTGTGTTTCAAGCATCTCTACTCCCTACCATCTCCCATGTTTCAAGCATCTCTACTCCCTACCATCTCCCGTGTTTCAAGCATCTCTACTCCCTACCATCTCCCGTGTTTCAAGCATCTCTACTCCCTACCGTCTCCCGTGTTTCAAGCATCTCTACTCCCTACCATCTCCCGTGTTTCAAGCATCTCTACTCCCTACCATCTCCCGTGTTTCAAGCATCTCTACTACCTACCTTCTCCCGTGTTTCAAGCATCTCTACTCCCTACCATCTCCCGTGTTTCAAGCATATCTACTCCCTACCATCTCCCCTGTGTTTCAAGTATCTCTACTCCCTACCTTCTCCCGTGTTTCAAGCATCTCTACTCCCTACCATCTCCCGTGTTTCAAGCATATCTACTCCCTACTGTCTCTCCTGTGTTTCAAGTATCTCTACTCCCTACCATCTCCCGTGTTTCAAGTATCTCTACTCCCTACCATCTCCCGTGTTTCAAGTATCTCTACTCCCTACCATCTCCCGTGTTTCAAGCATCTCTACTCCCTACCATCTCCCGTGTTTCAAGTATCTCTACTCCATACCGTCTCCTCTGTTCCCGAGTCCACCCTGATACAGGCTTTGGGTTGACCCTCCCAGCCCTTGTCACTGGTACAGTACAGCAGGTTGTTGTCGTCACAGCCGCCGGAGTAGCCGTCGTCACAGGAGTACACCGCCACAGCCGCGGCCAAGGAGTAGTGGACATCCACCATCGCCTTGTCCAGCAGAGGAGGGTTCGGGCACGAGAAGGGGCTCCAGCCAGTCACTGAAAGACGATGGACACAGATAGTGGAGTTGAAACAATATATCATAAGAAATGACAATCTATTAGATTTGAGAACATTTCAAAAGGTGACCGAAATATGATGTGATACACGTTATATATCACATTGCAACATTTCCTCGTTGATCATGTTATTATATTATAGCACGTTTGATATCATTTCACTTATCACATTTGGAATGTAATATCTGAACTATATCGTTATTTCTCACATTTCATTCATTTCACCATTGGTAAACAATTATGATACCTAACCTTGACATTTATGTCTCACCTTTCGTATGCACTATCCCACCTTGATGTGTCGTTTCACATTTGGTATGTAATATCGCACCTTAAAATGTTGTGTCGCATCTTCAGTGTGCAATATCCCACATATATATGTCTTACCTTTGGCATGCAATATCTCACCCTGATGTTATGCCACCCTTTGGTATGCAATATATTTCCTCACTATGCAATGTCTCACCTTTGGTAAGCAATATCTCTCCTTGATGTTATGCCACCCTTTAGTATGCAATATATTTCCTCACTATGCAATGTCTCACTTTTGGTAAGCAATATCTCACCTTGACGTTATGTCACCCTTTGGTATGCAATATATTACCTCACTATGCAATGTCTCACCTTTGGTAAGCAATATCTCACCTTGATGTTATATCCCCCTATGGTATGCAATATATTTCCTCACTATGCAATGTCTCACCTTTGGTAAGCAATATCTCACCTTGATGTTATGTCACCCTTTGGTATGCAATATATTTCCTCACTATGCAATGTCTCACCTTTGGTAAGCAATATCTCACCTTGATGTTATATCACCCTATGGAATGCAATATATTTCCCCACTATGCAATGTGTCACCTTTGGTAAGCAATATCTCACCTTGATGTTATGTCACCCTTTGGTATGCAATATATTTCCTCACTATGCAATGTCTCACTTTTGGTAAGCACTACCCAACTTTAATATGTTATATATCATCATCGGTATGTCATTTTCCACCCGATGTATCTCACTGCTGATACGATGAGTCTCACCTTTGCTCCCAAACACCTCCAGTTCACAGACAGTGAGCACCCCTCTAGAGCCGGCCACGTGCTGTACCCGCACAAACCGCCCGGGGGCAGGAGCTGCACACTGTTGTTTATCTCGAGCACCAGGTGGATGTCCAACCGTCGACACACACAGTACGCCAACAGCTTTGGGGTTGAGTTCCGGGTTCTGACTGTATACGGTTATCTCGACGTCTCCTTGTCGTTTCTCTGGTTATAATAATTAAAATAATATAGACTGTGCCGACATTATCATTACAGTAAACTACGGTTATCACGAACACGCTTATAACGAACTGACGGATATAACGAACTTACTTTTTTGTCCCGACTATCTGCTCTATTATGCTGTATATATGCTTATAACGAACTACGGTTATAACGAACTAAAATTTGTGGTCCCTTTGAGTTCGATATAACCGTAGTTTACTGTATTTGTTACAGAACCCAGCATAGTGTGGCTACGTCTCTGCGGCATCATGACGTCATAATGTTTTCTTTGATAGGCATTTAGAAGATTGACTATTAAGTAAGGATAAGATTCACGATGTCAATCACTGGATTGTCTGGTCCAGACTCGATTATTTACAGACCGCCGTCACATAGCTGGAATATTACTGAGTGCGGCGTTAAACAAGAAACAAACAAACAAACATACCGTCTGAGGCACTCCTCGTCAAGGCGATGGAAGTGACGTGGTACATGGATGTCAGGTCGACCATGACCCACGGGTCAACAGCGGCTGTCACGAAGCAGTGGTTAGAGGTGACGTTGTTGTCGGTCCTGCCGTCTACGACAGTCTCCAGTGAGTAACGCTCGTACATCACGGCACTAGCCAACACCGGTTTCTGGAGAGCTAGATTCTCTGTGGAAGTATATCAATAAGTTTAAAAAACTGACCCCAAAACGCATACAATTGTCCACATTAGTAATTGTCCTGGTAATATAAAAGAGTTTAACATTAGTGAATGAGTGAGTATTGTTTTACTTCGCTTTAGGCAATATTCAAGCAACATCATATACTAATGTGTGGAATCGACCTTGGCTCTGGCGTGACGTGACGCCTCCTAAAAAACTATGATTGTGGGTTCGAATCCCGGTTCACCCGGATTTTGTTTCTAGGTTTGTCAGCACCATACCCGTGCTCCTGGGTTTCACCGAAGTGGTAAGCGTCTAAGACCTGCATCACTTCGGGCTTTCCTCCCATATTAAGCTTACCCGTCTTGTTATTACTGGAATACCGTTAAAAGCGGCGTTAAACCAAATTCACTCACTAACACATTTGACGAGCGAACATTTTAACAGATTGCCTGTACCACCACCCCTTACAAAGGTACGACGTTCAGTGCAGAGTTGACTGTTCTCGTTGTTGGTCTGTCTGCACCATACTCGCGACCTTCGTCACTGGACGTCCACCAGCTGACACATTCTAATATACCTGAAGTACTAAGTGGGTGAGTGAGTTTGGTTTTACGCCACTTTTAGCAATATTCCAGCAATATCACGGCGGGGGACACCAGAAATGGGCTTCACACATTGTACCCATGTCGGGAATCGAACCCAGGTCTTCGGCGTGAGTAGCAAACGCTTTAACTACTAGGCTACCCGACCGCCCCCTCAAGTACTAAGACTACAAGTACTAATAGAATTACTTACGACCTGTTTCCGTGATTACAGGTGTGCCTTCGGTCGTTGTACTTGCAGGCGTTGTGCGTACAGGCGTAGTAGATGCAGTTGTAGTAGGTTCAGGTGTAGCAGACGCATGTGTAGTAGACGCAGGTGTTGTGGGAACGGTCGTAACAGGCGCAGGTTGAGGTGGCAGGACGGGTTCCAGGGCACCCGGGGGTAAGAGTCGCACCTCATACAGGCGACCACGCCCAGATACGGCAAGTTTCTGCACCCCGGAGCCCAGGGCTGCTTGGCCGTCATGATGGGCAGTTTTGATTCCGTTAACGAAGAGCTGTCACAGAAATAAATACCTTGAACGATTTGTTTGTTTGTTTGTTTTTCTGTTGTTTTACGAGCACTCAGCAATATTCCAGCTATATGACGGCGGTCTGTAAATAATCGAGTCTGGACCAGACAATCCAGTGATTGATATCATGACCCTTTAATGGAGCATATTTTCCTCTGTACTGAACAACATATTCCAACCTTTATATTCTGGAGATGTTGGTACTTGATGAACACTCTACATGAATTATTTCTTGGATTAAAAGTGACTTGCAAAACATGCATCTGAGCAATTATAACTCCCTGCTGAATGTCAAAGGATGGAAATTCACTGAAATCTAAAAGTTTATGAATAAATAGTTCATAATTATTGATATTCCATCGAAAACGATGAAGGCGTCATTTCGAAACTTGAACCTATGATATTTCTGTTTAAAAAAAAACATAATCAAGATATTAAGTTGTTTTGGACATTAAGCTGTACGTTAAGTGAAGATGTGTATATTGACATACAGCTTGAAATCGATTTAACTATATGACAATGATATTCATATTATGTTTCCAGTTGATCATCTTCGGTTTGTCAACGCCATGTTTGGCCAGTGTAGGTTAGTTTTCCGCACTCACTCACTCATAAACATACCCGCCCACCAAGAACGCATCAACACACAAACACTCACACTAATGTACTAACTCACTCACTCACTCACTCACTACCTCACATACTCACATCCAGAACACTCACGCACCCTTACTCACCTGCTCCCCCGCCCGACCGCCCGACCGCCCGGCCGAACGCCCACCGACCCACGCACCGACCCACCAACACACCCATTCACTCACTCAACCACTCACCCACTGACTCACTCGACCCGTGAAGATCTGGGTCGTCAGCAACCCATGCTTGTCGTAAGAGGCGACTAACGGGATCGGGTGGTCAGGCTCGCTGACTTGGTTGATGCATGTCATCGTAGCTTAACTGCGTGCATCGATGCTCATGATGTCAATGACTGGATTGTCTGATCCAGGTTCGATTATTTACAGCCCGCCATCACATAGCTGGAATATTGCTGAGAGCGGCGTTAAACAACAAATAAAACAAAACAAAACCCACTCACTCACTAACGAACTATTCACTCCTTACTCCCCCGCAGCACGCACGCTCATTATCTGCGTACCTCATATCGTCCTCCTCTGCGTGAAACCCTCCATGTTGTGGTGGACGATGTTGGAGACGGAGCCAAACCAAACGTCATGGCACCTGCCTTAACCTGTCCCTTTGATATTCCCACGAGAAACAAGAAGAGTTGTGTCCTTTCCTCCGTCAGTCGCACACCGAAGCTGAAGAACAAACCAATGAACATATTACCTTTCTATTGGACCCGTGAAGATCCGGGGTAGAATAGGTCTTCAGCAACCAATGGTTGCCGTAAAAGGCGACTATGCGACTAATGGGATCGGGTGGTCAAGCTCGCTGACTTGGTTGATGCATGTCATCGATCCCAATTGCGTGGATCGACGTTCATGATGTAAATCACTGGATTGTCTGGTCCAGACTCGATTATTTTACAGACCGCCGTCATATAGCTGGAATATTGCTGTGTGCGGAGTTAAACAACAACCAACCAACCAACCTTTCTCTTGAAAAAAAACCACCACTTATTTTGGGCATGACACTGCTATGTTAGCAGTGTGTGTGTGAGAGAGAGAGACACTAGGAAGAACACGTGCAGGTACATGCATGTTTAAACATAGGATATAAGCGATGGCGTGGTTGATTTATCAGTGCTCGCTGGATTGGAGACCAGAACATTCGTACCCAATTGTGTTCTTCAAGGTCACGTGTACTCCCTCTCTTCAGATCCGCATTCGTTAAACACTGCTTACCGATGGCATGTTGTGAGTATTAAATAACGCTCCACTGTCTCAAGAGCAATTTCATTGTGCGTACACACAGTTGAGACGTATTTCATGATAATACTTCGGTAAGCAGTCAACTCACAATGACAAAGTCCAAGGCTTGTAATTACGTCGACAAAGGAACATTTATATATGAGTGTCGGCCCGATATACCAGCATTCGACAGCTGTTGCCAGCTTTTTGAGACAAATGCATTTGGTTTCTACTCATTTGCATCTCTACTCATCGAATTCCGAAGCCTCAATCAAAGTACGGAAACCTTTTAGGGCCATTTGCTTTTTAATGCTATGGCATTTGACATTTTAAGATACTAATTTGAAAGTTCCAGATGCTGTGTTGAAATTAAAAGATAATGATCTTGAAATTTCAAGATATTGCGTTGACATTTTGTCACATAAACTACTTGTTCACAACCTTTCGTCACCAGTATAATGAACCCACAGAACATGAACACTACGTGTATATAATGTATTCCGAGGTAGCGCATTATCTTGAAATTTCAACTTAGTATCTTGAAATTACAAAAAAAGAAAGATACAAAAGCAGATGGCCCTGAAAGGTTTCCGTACAACTGGGCCACCCGTCGAATGGGTTAACATGATTGTTGTGAACATGACGTGCGGGGTGACCTACTCGTCTTGTGACGTCATCACGAAGTATATCGAGTTGTGGTCAGTGAAGGGACAGTCCAGTATCACGTAGCCAGCGTTCACACTCTGCAACGAAGAAAAAGAAGTATTTCAAAAGCAGTCAGAGACTTACATCTGTGATAGTGGAAGAGCGTCCACCCGGAGAGCGGAATGTGCGGGGTTCGATCCCCGCCGCGTCATACCAAAAAACGTAAAAAGATGGTACTTGTTGTTACCCTGTCTGGCGCTCGGCATTAAGGGGCTAAAACAAGGACTGGTCGGCTCTGAGTCAGTATACTGTGTCTGAGTGGGGTATTCATGTTAAACTGCGGCATGGTATCTCAGTGTGGTAGCACTATAAATCGGCATCAGTCCGGACTAGTACAGGCAGCCACACACACGTGCATGCACGTCGCTAAATAAGTGCAATAATCTTAGACGCGACGTTAAACCCCATTTCACCTCACTTAATTATGATGTGACTTGTTTGTCAGCATTAACATCACACCAAGTTCAACAACCAGCTGTGATGAAGATAGAGTTTCAACTTAATTTATCATTGGGATGTTTCAATTCGGTACAGATGCTAGTATCTTTATGAAGGTAGTATTACAACTAGGTTGGATATGATTATGTAGCTAAGAATTACATACACACAAATCCCTTCTGAAAGACTTACGTAGATTAATCTAATCTAATCTATATATATTGTTTGAATTACAGCTAGTGATATAAGGTGTTTTATCATACCCCCATGTCAGAATGATGAGATCTCATTGGCCCACGTGATCTTGATAAAATACTTTATCATTTCTCCATGTCAGAATGATGAGATCTGATTAGTCCACGTGATCTTGATGAAATACTGTGTAACCCGCCTTAGAGGGTAAAATTTCTCAAAGGGGGAATAAAGTTGTTAAACCCCGCCACGAGCAAGTCAGGCTGCACGTGGATTCCTGGGAGGCAGAATAAATCCCCCATACATACCCCGCTTCAAAGCAAAAGCCGCACGCTTTTTCCGAGTCAATGGAATTTCTGTGACAGCGCAAGCTAACCTCAGCTCAATCGAACAGCTGTTTTCTATCAATTTTGAATTTGTTTGAATTATTTTACAATATCATATTAAAACATGTCGGTAAGATAAATTCGTTCTAGAAGGACAACTCGGACCATATGGGGTTTTATGCGTCCCCCGTTAGGTTTGATACCCCGAGTCTGAAGCTCACCTTCCACACCACACGTCCGCACTTCCCAGGAGGGGCGGTCCAGACGTCGTTGTTCCTGCATCTGCTCACGTCGTTACCGTCACAGACGCCGTACTGTTCACTGACACAGGTATACCTTGCTACAGCCTCCTGACCCTCGTACGTCAGCTGGAAGCGAAAGATAAATAAGTTTGTTTGTTTGTTTGTTTGTTGTTTAACGCCGCACTTAGCAATATTCCAGCTACGTGACGGCGGTTTGTAAATAATCGAGTCTGGACCAGACAATCCAGTCATTGACATCAAAAGCATCGATCCACGCAATTGGGATCGATGACATGCATCAACCAAGTCAGCGAGCCTGACCACCCGATCCCCTTAGTCGCCTCTTACGACAAGCATGGCAAAAGGGGCAACTGTGCATATCGAATTGCGGCGACCAACCTCATCACATTAGACATTTACAAATTCATAGGGGTTTTGTCGAGTTTAGTAAAACGAAATACAGTAAACTACGGTTATAACGAACTCAAAGGGACCACTAATTTTAGTTCGTTATAACTTTAATTCGTTTTAAGCATATATACAGCATAGCTACAGCAAATAGTCGGGACCAAAGAGTAAGTTCGTTATATCCGTCAGTTCGTTATAAGCGTGTTCGTTTTAACCGTAGTCTACTGTATAGATAAGTAATGATAAATTATTGACAGAAATAGATGAACAAATACCTCCAATTATAATAAATGAGACATTTGTTTAATTTGAAGAGGTTGGAAAAGTCGGACATCGACGATTTATAAATGCTAGGAAAATGTTGTATTTGAGAACAGAAAGAGAAAATTGTCTGACTGACATCGGCTACGAGTGCAGTGGTGTCGTGAATGAGTGAGTGAGTGAGTGAGTTGGGTTTAACGCAGCTTTTAACATTATTCCAGTTATATCACGGCGTGTGAGCTTAATGTGGGAGGAAAGCCCGAAGTGATGCAGGTCTCTTCGGTGAAACCCACGAGCACGACAGTCCTAGAAATATAATCGGGGCAAACAGGGACTTCTGGCGTGCCTAGGGGACACCACTCTGCACGGCGAATAACGGCGCCTTCGAAAACTGGGCCACAAGTAAAGTGGAATAACGCCGTAATATAATATATTTGTCTTCATGAGACATGCGTCTTCTGTGAAAATTGCAACAAATATATACTGAAGAGCAAAAGAAACTATAACTTAGTTTTTTTCTTATGTTTAATTTTCAATTGAAAATATCTTAAGTTAGCGACATTATATCCAAAAATTAACTGTACTGGTGCTAATATAATTAGTCAGCACTCAAAGAATACTTCTATGTGGTCTTATTCTTTTAAACATAATTTGATTTAAAACTTTCAAATAGTAAAAATAATGTTTTCCCATTTTTGACAGCTGGACCCGTGAAGATCCGGGGTAGGATAGGTCTTCAGCAACCCATGCTTGCCATAGAAGGCGACTATGCTTGTCGTAAAAAGGCGACTAACGGGATCGGGTGGTCAGGCTCGCTGACTTGGTTGATGCATGTCATCGTATTCCAATTGCGTGGATCGATGCTCATGATGTCAATCACTGGATTGTCTGGTCCAGACGCGAATATTGACAGACCGCCGTCATATAGCTGGAATATTGCTGAGTGCGGCGTTAAACCACAAACAAACAAATATTAACAGCTGCTGGGTATCTTAGACATCTTATCTTTGAAAATCAATATATTTGCGTTTTTAGGCACACATTTACATTTAAAACACGGCAGGGTCATGTGGATGCAAATTCATTTCTTACCCCAGTCTTCACTGGACAAATATATATTTACACAAACTTGCAAAGCCACAGATTACGGCTTTACAAACTGTTGAAGGAATGAGTGATGATGGTTAAGTAGACATAATCAAATTTAACATTAGTTCTTTCAATTTGAAATTACATTTAAAATAACTTGGTCTACTCTCTTTTGCCTCTCAATTTTGGAACTGAAATATTTTTCGGTGCACGTGAGAAAAAATATATTCTCTCATCTGAACCCAACTCTCAGACATTAATTGTTTTATAGTGCGTCAGTACTGCTATATCAGCATTTACATCCTTAACAAGCGAGAGACTCAGGTAAGAATACTACACCCGAGTTACTGCTCCGTCAGGGGTGGGAGGGGACACACAGTCAAACGGACTCCTAACTGAAACAGAGAAAAACACAGTCACTCCAAATGGCAGACTATTATTTGAACAACCGAGTTTGCGGTTTACATAAAATATGTTCCACAATGACTGCGCTACAGTGAAACACTGTCAATATCGACGCAGCCGTTGCATGGGTTGCTGAAGACCTATTCTACCCCGGATGTTCACGGGTCAGTGAGTGAGTGAGTTTGGTTTGACGCCGCTTAGGCGTGTCAGCTTGTTGTGGAAGAGACGCTCGACGTGATGCAGGTCTTGGACGTTGACCAGTTTGGATGAAGCCTGCAAGTATGGTGCTCAGAAATCAAGAATCAAAATCAAGATGAACCGGGATTCGGGCCCGCCATCATATGATCCTGGCACGTCTAAGGGACGCAACTCTGTAAAACGAACTGCGCGGCTTTCGAGATTAGACAACCCGTCTCCCATAATATGTTGTAGGGTTAAAATTATATACAAGTCATCAATATATCCGCTGTTTGTAAGTTGAAGCCATTACCGGAGGGCGTCATTTGCTGCATCAAGGCGCGGGTGATGATCGTGAGGTTGTTGAGTCGCTGAAACAATGGCGTCATCTCCTCCCGACACGAGCACACAGGAGGGGGTGTTGGATACAAGGCCGTGGTAGTTGACGTGGACGTTGTTGTAGATGTAGGTGTGGTAGTTGTCGGGGGCTGTGTTGTAGTTGTCGATGTCGTTGTAGTTGTGGTTGTGGTTGTGGTCGTCGTTGATGGTGTTGTTGTCGTTGTTGGCTGCGTAGTCGACTTAGTAGTAGTAGCCTCTGTTGTCGCTATGGCTGTTGCTGTTATGATATTTAAATAAAATATATTTTTGGAAAGAACTTTCCATACATAAATGGTCATATATCTTTAAGAGTCATAAAGATAAAAACAGCTAATTACTATGGAATAGTGTAAGGGACATTCTCGCGGTCTCGCATTCTCGCGATCTCGACCTTTGGAAACGAGCTAAATATGCCCAAAACACGAGAATGCGAGATCTCAAAACTCTTGCGTTCTCGCGATCTCGAGTTCTCGTGCTTTTGGTACGTAGCATATATTGTCAAAAGTTAACAACGCCAGAATGCGACATTTGGACATGATGCAAATCTCGAGTTGTCAAATTAAGCCACAAACACACGAAATCGCGAGAATGCGACATTTCATTTTCTCGCGATCTCGCGTTCTCGCGTTTTAGACGCTGTCCGTGCGCATGCGTAATATCATAAGATCAAGGCGCATGAGCAAGTCCTATGTAGAGTTGAGTCCTCTCTCGTTGTTACAGTTTCCTATGTACTTTATATTAAAACCCTCAATTGCAACCTTCTTCATATAATTTAAGAAAAGAAATTCTGTGCATGAATGCCCAATGATAGTGAAAACATTAAAGTGTCACCGTCAGTGAGTGAGTAAAACTGTTTAAAGACCGCATCAGCTGTATTGCAGCTATTCGCGAGTACACCGTCAGTTATAGAAATAATCACAGACCAGTGGGGGCGGTCGGGTAGCCGAGTGGTTAAAGCGTTCGCTCGTCACGACGAAGACCCGGGTTCGATTCCCGACATGGGTACAATGTATGAAGCCCATTTCTGGTGTCCCCCGCCGTGATATTGCTGGAATATTGCTAAAAGCGGTGCAAAACCATACTCACTCACTCACTCACTCGCAGACCAGTGATTTTCTCACTGAGGCAATATTGCACAGGACTAGCATATTCATGAAAGCAAAATTCTCACTGACCAATTTGCCAAAATTACAAAATTAATTAATAGATTTCCATCCGCTCCCGCCTAGCTACAAAACGTCCCACTTTACATTATTTTATAGCTAAAATGGATAGAATTATCATTAAACCGCCCGCATGTTATCAGAAATGAGCGGGCCACTTGGCTTTGATCCCACTCTCCGTTGATTGGTTACTGACTCTGTGGGCGTGTCAAGTTCTGTCCATAAATTAAACAATCACCTGAATCATGTCACGCCACAGTATGTATTCCTACACCTGGAATGTTTATCGTCATTTTTGTCTGCTTTGATATACTAGTATACAACAGTTTATGGTTAAACTATTGTAGATAACACGGGTTTTCGTTGTCGAATTTAATAAAGGATAAAGGTATGAATCGGATAAACCGACGTGCACACTGTATGAAACCGCGTGCCTCAATAAACCGAAATCAATCCTTAAAATGTTTTGTAAATATGTAAAAACACTTTTACAATTGGTGGAATAAATCAGCAACTGAGATTGTTAGTGACTATATCCTCGAAGGGGGTTAAAGTAGTGTAAAATTATTGCCCCCCTGAGAGGGTATGTAAGACCACGTCTTTCAAAGTATTTTTATTTCTGCCTCGTTTTTAATCGTAGCATATGAGTTGTTTTAATGTTTGGCTATATTTGTCACCCATCGACAAGAACTGAAGGGATGATCTATATTCGGCTGGGGTCCATGCAGGTAGTAAAAGTACTGTAAGTGCCCATGGTCCCTAGGGTGGTGATCTACCTTCAGTTGGTGGCGATCTATAGCCCGTTTTTATATTGTGTTGTTGAATGATAATTTATTTTTACATGCTTTCAAACTATAAAATCTGTGATATTCTAGTTACCATACTGTCCTTCGATGACAAAATTTTATATAGTTTAAATATATATTATTAATGTCAAATTTTGTCTCGTCACGATATGGCTGAAATATTCCCGATGTGACGTTAAACTGTTACTCACTCACTCACTCCTTAAATAAATTACTTTTCAGTTACTATTGTATTCACAAACATACTTTCCTCAATGTCCGGCACACATTCCTTCACTTTTGGGTGGAAGATATATCCCTTGGGACATTCTTGAATCTCCACCGTCCTCTCTCCTCTGCAGAACAGATGGTAGCGCGTGCGAGGGATGCCGGGATACGGGATTTCCCCATCCGGTTGCCCAACACAGGAAGCGGAACACGCCATGCAATACTCTCGACCCAGACACCGTCCTATCCTGTACTCGCCTGAACAAATCATTTTTATATGACAATTGACATTTGAATAACCTATAAGATTAAAATTTGAATACAATTAGATTAAACTTGAAATTAAGATTAGATTAAAATTAGAAAGTTCTTGAGAATGTGCCATGAATAATGTAAATAAAATGTATTTGGTTGCATTATAAAGTGACGCCAGAAAGAAAGTACACCAATCGGTCAGTCAAATACGTAAACATAGAAATGAAATATTTCGTGATCGAATATGGCACACAAACACAACAAAATGTATTCGATAAAATAAAGCGTCTTGAAGTGTAAATTTGAACGAATGACTTTCATTTTGCGAAAACGACGTCGGCACTCCTAGAAAGAAATGCACGTGCAAAAGTGATATAAAAAGCAGCTGACAGCACACGTTCGGAACACAGAAACAAGAGTAGAGAGTTGGTATGTCTGGTATGGCCCAGGATGAGACCACGCATGCCCACATGGCAAGAACATTCGGTTTCACCCGGGTTTGCATAACCAGGTTAATGGCGACGGTTACGGCAGACAGGTCACACAACAGACATGTCTGGGAGTGGGAGACCCGGTGTGACCATGACCATTGAAGACCTTCACATCCGTGGACTTCATCTCCGAAACCGCGCCATCCCCTGTGTTTGATACAGATATCACATTTGTGTTTTGGACTTTTAAGTTTACAGTTTTAAGACGTCTGATTTCAGCCTGTCAACGTTTTGATAACGTTTGTATGTTTTTTGCCAAATCCAGTTTTCAAGTGTATGCTTTCTTTTGCCTTTCATTATACAACGCAACTTCTTCAAGGATATATATATTCCTAAAATACACATAAGCTAATCACTCATTATATGTAGATGTTTATGTTAAACACAATTAAAGACTGGCAAGTCAAATTTGACTTTCGAAAATGTGTCGCGTTGACCGTTTTTCGAGACGGCGCACTGCCAATATCAGACCATAGGACCGGTGTCTTAACGATACATCGTCCTAAATGATATTCCATCAAGTTAATGGAGTTGAATTATGGTTATTAAAAGAAGCAGCCAAATAATGTGTAGTAAGGCGCTCTTCCACTTTCGAGACATAGGTAGGGCTTAAGGTAAAGGAACATCATCAAGTTGCCTCTAAAATACACAATGGATATTTCAGCGACGAGCGGTACGTTTCTTGTACTTACAAGGAGATTTCGGCTCAAACTTGTTGCCACACGGGGTTTTGATCAAGTCAAACAGCTGACACGTGGCGCTGCTCTCGTCATACAGATGCATGTACTGGCACTCCGACTGGTAGGGCTTCAGCCCGAAGTGGTGATACCTCGTACTGCAGTCGTAATAACGAGCGCAGTTCCTTGGGTCCCCGAACTTGGCAGAGGGGTGCATACGGCAGTAGGTGCTGATTGATTCTGGAATTGAAAGTATGATTAAGATTTCAAATTGTTTTTGTTACTTCTATTGAGGTATATAAATTACGTAAAAAAGCAAGTTACACAACGGATTTACGCAAAATGTGCACAGCGTTTTTACCTTCATACTGCCATAATCGAAAGAATAATTTATACTGAAGTCAATTCATATTGATAAATAAATTTGTGACATCGTTCTGCGCAATAATGCAACACAAGGCCCTCCCATTTTATCATCAGCCAATCAGGAAACAGTAGTCTGCAAGAGGGCGTGGCCTAATTTAATTTTCGGTTTACGGAAGCAGAGAGACAAAAAGACTTGCTCGATTAGCCATTCAAACAGCAAATCCTCTTGATTAACGAAATAATGATATGTTTGAAGGGGAAAGACATCAATCGTCCTGATAAACGGATCCAAACTAACGAGAGTCAACGTGAACTTCAATCCTACACTTCTCGGTGTGAACATAACCGTTTAATTCAACTTCGATTTCGTTAAATTCCCTATGTACGAGATAGTAATGTCAACACGTAAATTCGTCCACGCACGATGATATATGATCGCAAATGTCAAATGTTTGTGCATGATCTTGGACTAGAAGCACCAGAACGCGAAGGTCTTCAGCAACCCATGCTTGCCGTAAAAGGCGACTATACTTGTGGTAAGAGGCGACTAACGGGATCGGGTGGTCAGGCTCGCTGACTTGGTTGATGCATGTCATCGTATCCCAATTGCGTGGATCGATGCCCATAATGTCAATTACTGGAGTGTCTGGTCCAGACTTGATAACTTACAGACCGCCGTCATACAGCTGGAATATTGCTGAGTGCTGTGTTTAACAACAAACAAACAAACAAACAAACAAACAAAGTAGGACCATGTGTGTAAGCCCGAAGTACACAGATATAACGATACTCGCAGCGTGATTTCGTGGATGTATACCAGCAGGTCATGACCTTAATATGTTTATAATTATAACGACTGTCCGCTAATTTCCTGACCGACAGTTGAGTACCACCATGCAAATTGCCCACGGCGACGTTCGCCGTCATGTAACAACGACACGGTGGCGACGTAAAGGCGTCAAGTGCCCGTATGTAGATTCCCCTGGATTGACAAGATGGAGTAGACGGCACTGACATCCACACGATATTCACGAAAAATCCTCGTTAGCCGTGTGTCACATCTACAGTTTAAACTGACTTAACTAGAAATAATTTTCAAACTGTATCTGATGATGATTTCACGAACCAGAGGAATAAAGAGTAAGTTTAGCCAAATAGCTATTGTCAAGGAATAGTTTTGAAACATGGAACATTAATTTTTTATTAAAATTGTCTGTCTATCAATGTGAGTATGAATAAACAAAAATAAATTTGTTTTGTCAGGAAAATACAACATATGGTTTATCTATTTTTATTTAAAATAAAATTCTAAATTATATGGGAAAAATGTAGTAAACGCTGTTTCCAAGTGTATTTTACAACTACTACCTCGCCATATCGTTAAAGGCGGTATAAAACAATTGCATGTGATATCGTGGCATTTAATTGGTAAACCAAGCAATTAAATTTGGGTTTATGTCACCATACATCTAAGTATATTAGGCCTCGCCCAATAACGGACTACTTGCGAGACGTGCTTGGCATTCCCTGTGTCTAGCATGTGATACCACAGACTCCAGTTGAAACAAACACAATTAATGATATAATTTACACGCAACAAGCGCAAAATGTATTTTACTTTGCCAGATTTACAGCGCCTGTCGTCTGTACCAGCTTCGTGATGGCCGATAAAAGCAACACCTTCGGCGATTGTCATTTAGGGAATGATCTTGACGAAGATCTGGAGAAATTGGCCGGCGCCAAGAATTGATTGATTGATTGTTGTTTTACACCGCACACAGTAATATTCCAGCTATATGACGGCGGTCTGTAAATAATCGAGTCTGGACTAGACAATCCAGTGATTGACATCATGAGCATCGAGCCACGCAATTGGGATAGATGACATGCATCAACCAAGTCAGCGAGTCTGACCACCCGATCCCGTTAGTCGCCTCTTACGACAAGTATAGTCGCCTTTTACGGCAAGCATGGGTTGCTGAAGACCTATTCTACCCCGGAATCTTCACGGATCCAATCACACGTTTGCCTGGCCCAGACTCGATTATTTACAGGCAGCGGTGATGCGCTAAGATCTTGCTGACTGTAGCCTTATACAGCACTAGCTGACAAGCAGAAGTAGACAAAATAGTATGACATTGTGTATACCATCAGCATGTTGTGTCTTGTAATAACGAAAATGTTCTTTCTTTTGAAATAGCAATCAAGTTCGTGTTTTATGAGTTGTAATGATGTATGACCCAATGACACCCAAACAAGTCACAGTTTGTAGTAACTTCATTTTGAACTAATATATGCGACACAATTCCATAATCTCGAAATCTCTGTTAAAAACAGGGGTCCATTGAATGTATGTATTGAATCATACGCAAGTGTTCACGAATCACTATCAAATTGTTATGACACCCACTGTACGCGAAAAGGAGAAGGGATGAATTTGATATAGATAATCTCACCGAGTGTCTTTTGATATCAAATATATCAACATGAGTTGATGAAAGTCTAAAAGTTTCCGTTCCTTGCCTTCTGTATCAATACTTACTTTGATAGTTCGATGTGCAGTTCTTTTCGATCGGATCGAAAACTTCTTCTGAAAATTTACACATTAAATTTGACAAAATTTTCCCTCCTTTACAGAGGATGTGTTCAGGCGAGTAGATAGTTCCGGGTTTGGGTGCATAGCCATCTTGTACACACTGACTGGACACAGAGACACACTCTGTCTTGTAATCACCTGGAAACAGGACAAAAGCAGGTTACCTGGGCATCAGAAATACAGACCTGGTTTGACAGTGGCATTTAGGCGTGCTGTTCAAAGATAATAAATAAGAAAAGTTGCAATACATTCTTGCTTGTCATGAACATAACACTAAAGGAGTGAGAGATTGAGTGAGTTAGTGAGTGAGTGAGTGAGTGAGCGAGTTGTGTTTAACGCCGCTTTTAACAGTATTCCAGTTATATCACGGCGTGTCAGCTTAATGTGGGAGGAAAGCCCGAAGTGATGCAGGTCTCAGACGGTTTACCACTTCGGTGAAACCCACGAGCATGGGATCCAGACTCGATTATTTACACACCGCCGTCATATAGCTGGAATATTGCTGAGTGCGGCGTTAAACAACAAACAAACAAACAAACAAAGAGAGAACATTTTAAATACGAAACCATGAATTATGTTATGACCAAAACGTTCCACGGTTAACCGAATCAGGTTTCAGGAAAAACTGATCCAGTTTCAGCGAGGATGTGCGAATGCATGTTCCTACTGCCTACGAAAAATGTACTTTGTATTTAAAGGAAAAACAGTAAGCCCGTGAGATATAATATATCTTTCTCTGAAACGCCAAGGTCGTTTCTCACTGACATTTTGTCTGTTCAGGACATGTTCAAAATATTAATGCGTGAACATAGGATGGTCTTTAATCGACGTCTATACGCAGCGCACGTACTCCACAAACAGGCGTTGGCAGTTGAAGTCATCATAATGACGCATGCCTTTGGGTAATACTGATTTATTAACGAAACACAAGTGATAATTAACATAGTGTGTACTGTCACACGATTGAACACTTTTAACACAACGCTACGCTGTTTTCACATTTTTCTTTTGTGAAAAACTCCATAATGTCATTCGTAGATTATTTTCTATTTTATTTTCGAATACCTAAATCCAGTGAAATTGCATATATATAAAACTAATGGAATTGTTTGTGAAAATAAGCATCTAAACATTGATTGATTTTTTTTATCATTTGGTATTCAGTTCCTTATTTCAGAGAAAACAATTGTATGTGTGGAAGCAGTGTCCACAAATAAAAGCTACAAAATGCTTTCCATAATTATGAAGTATCCCTGCTCAAAGCAGAGTTCTTTGCACGAATCAGACTATATCGTAAGCATGTGTCATCGTGCTATCAAATAACGAGGCTACCAGGTGTTCGCCAAAAGCTGAACGTGTCCTGCCTGACCAGTGAAATTACTAGTGAAACACGTCACAAACATATGCAAAGAACAACATAAAAATGGTAGGTCCTTTGCTATCAATGAACTGCCCCCAACAACCATCCCTAGTATCAATGAAGCTAAACTGAAAATCCATACCCCTATAAGTACGTTTATCGTATTTATCGTATCAACTATTCCTTACGACCCGGGAAGTGAGTGAGTGAGTGAGTTGGGTTTAACGCCGCTTTTAACTGTATTCCACTTATATCACGGCGTGTCAGCTTAATGTGGGAGGAAAGCCCGAAGTGATGCAGGTCTCAGACGTTTACCACTTCGGTGAAACCCACGAGCACGGGTATGGGGCTGACAAACCTAGAAACATAATCGGGGCGAACCGGGATTCGAACCCACAATCATAGGTTTCTGGCGTGTCCAAGGGTCGCAACTCTGCACAGCAAATCGCGGCGCCTTAGACGACTGGGCCACCCGTGCCCCCCGACCCGGGAAGACCCGGGTTAGAATTGGTGTCTGACAACCCATGCTTGTCGTAAGATGGGACTCACGGGATCGGGTGGTCAGGCTCGCTGTCTTGTTGATGCATGTATCCCAAATGAGTAGATCGATGCTCATAATGTCTATCACTGGATTGTCTGATCCAGATTCGATTATTTATAGACCGCCGTCATATAGCTGGGATATGTTGATGCATGTCATCGTATACTAATAATATTGCGTAGCTATAGATCAATAGTCATGATGCCAAACACTAGATTGTCTGATCCAGACTCGATTATTTACAGACCGCCGCCATTTAGCTGGGATATGTTGATGCATGTCATCGTATCCTAATAATATTGCGTAGATCGATAGTCATGATGCCAAACACTGGATTGTCTGGTCCAGACTTGACTATTTAGAAACCGGCGTCAAAACGCTGGAATATTGCTAAGTGTGGCTTTGAAAACGAACAAACAAATAAACAAACATGTGAAGGACATTTCCAAGGACAAACATTATGTCCGCTACAATTCTTTATATTGACTTGTACCCACGTTCCGGTGTTTGTTCGGGTGAACGCTTGACTTGTATTTGCATGTGTTTGTGACGGACGCCACCGGTAGGGCAGAATATGCTCACTTTTTGCAAACAACAACCTATGGAAGCCCGTGAGCGTCATATACGTACACTTGTTGGCCGGGGGATTGATACACGCCACCTCGTTACTCCGCTGGTTTTCCCTGCACACCGCCAATTCAGGGTCAAACAGAGTAGGATAAGAACATTCGTTCTCGTAGATCTTCAGTCCATATCTTTTGTCAGGTGTTTTCCGTGAACAGTCGTAAAACATCGCGCAGCTGTCCGGATGCGGGAACCGTAAGTGGCTATAGATGGGGCAGTATTTTTGTGCCACTTCTGAAAGTAACAGAATATGATCACAAACAACAATCATAATAACAAAAACAACACTTTCTAAAGCAATAATATGTAATAGAATGCTTATAGCCTTTCGATTGTAGACAGATTGACAGATTGTTTGGTTTCAGATTGAATGAAACTGAACATGGTGTATTCGACGTGTACTGAATATACTAGTACACGTTTTGACTCTTTTATTACCCGTGATGATGATCTGGGTCAGAGGTGATCTTCACCAACGCATGCTTTCCGTAAAGGCGACTAAGCTTGTCGTAAGAGGCGACTAACGGGATCGGGTAGTCAGGCTCGCTGACTTGGTTGATGCATGTCATCGATCCTAATTGCGTGGGTCAATGCTCATGATATTAATCACTGGATTGTCTGGCCCAGACTCGATTATTAACAGACCACCGTCATACAGCTGGAATATTGCTGAGTGCGGCGTTAAACAAAAAAACAACCAACTAAAGCCCCGCGGTGAATTCCCAAGCAGCGCTATGCTTGTCGGAAGAGGCAACTAAATGGATGGGACTGGTGCCATCGTACCTGATTATTGCATACACTATCAGTGGATGGTTTTCCTGGTGATATCTTGATTACGTACGAGCAGCTGCCATATAAGTGGAATATTGCTTAGTGCGGCGTCAAACAACAAACAAGCTTGAATCTTCGGAGCTCGTTCAGATTTAAGGTGTTAAGACAAAAAGGAAGAATTACAATCTTATCAACAAATGTAAAGACATGTAGTGAGTACACACTAGGTGCCAGATATAACATAGATAGCATTAACCCTTAAATTGTGTGGGAGAAGGATACTAGTGCCCTACACCCATTTAGATAATTTAAACCCACGATACATTAAGTTTTCATTCTGTCAGTATTTAATTCTGATCTTTTTACGACAGCAATTTTTTTTTTCTTTTACAACTTTGAAAATAATTCGTTCGAAGCTTGTATATCTTTGCGTAAATGATTTGTGGTATATGAACCATCATATGGTTGTGAATGTTTATTTAGTAATCCATTTGTCCCACAGCAACCTGTATTTTTCGTTCAGTTAGGCATCCGCCGTGAGACAGTTGCCATTTTCCACTGACATCAATAATTTAACATCACTAATCTCTCGGCCACTTAAACTGGTTAGTTGTACTTCTTACAATCAAGCCAATGGCTACCACTGTTTATGAACTAAAAACTTTAAAAATCGGTAAGATGATTTTGAATGATAAATATCATGTCATGATGACCCATGTGTCTTATGATAAGACATATACCAACACCCGTCGATAAAAGTTTAAAACTCCTCGGTAAAGCCTTTATGGACTTATGGTGATATATTTAAAAGGTTCAAGAGTGAGATCATGTACAAGACAGATACAAGGTATTTGTACAAAATAATACAATGCGAGTACAAGTGAGTGAGTGAGTTGGGTTTAACGCTGCTTTTAACAGTGTTCCTTTTATATTGCGGTGTGTCAGCTTAATGTGGGAGGAAAGTCGTTCAAAAGAGGTGCAAAGTTAGTACAAGGCAAGTTTTAAATGGAAACACAATAAGTGTTTATACCTGTATTTATTTTCTACAAGGAACGGAAATAACTTACTGCCCATGTTTATACATGATGGGGAAACGCGGAGACAGTTCTGGGATGTTGCGTCAAATCTCAGTGATGAGGGACAGTTGAGCCAGACGCCGTAGGTCGTCATGCCCTGGGTGTAGCAGTGGAGGTACCCCGTGCAGTCCCAGGGCACCTGAGTCAGACCTGATGACCTCTTGCAGAACAGGTTGACCAACCAGCGGGGAGCATGGCCATTCCTCAGCGTCTCCCCAACCGCCAGCAACATCAGCATCAGCAGGAACAACAACGACCACCTCGGTGACACCATCATGTCACATTGATTCCTGGATTAGGGAATACAAGACAATGATAAATCATGCATAAGTGAATACGCGACATTCTTGTTAGTGAATGAACGATATGCCACACATTGAATCATACATAATAATTCATACATAAGCGTTTGTTTGTTTGTTTAACATCGCACTCAGCAATATCCCAGCTAAGTGACAGCGGTCTGTTAAAAATCGAATCTGGATCACACAATCCAGTAATTGACATTATGTGCATCGATCTACTCAACTGGGATACATGCATCATCAAAACAGCGAGCTTGACCACCCGACCGCGTTAGGCGCCTCTTACGACGGGCATGGGTTGCTGAAGACCTATTCTAACCCAGCTCTTCACGGGTCTCTGCATAAGTGCATAAGCGATAATTATGTCAGTAAATGAACGACATGGTTTACATCAAATCCCGTCTGAACGACATTTAACGTCATAATTCCTGCATCAGTGAATAACTGGCATGTCGTATAGTCCCTACATTCAGATGAGTGAATTAGACATATATAAGTTGCCGCATCAGTGAGTGAGTGAGTTCGGTTTAACGCCGCTTTAAACATTATTCCAGTTACATCAAGGCGTGTCAGCTTAATGTTGGAGGAAAGCCCGAAGTGATGCAGGTCTCAGACGTTTACCACTTCGGTGAAACCCACGAACACGGGTATGGTGCTGACAAACCTTGAAACAATCGGGGCGAACCGGGATTCGAACCCTCAATCATAGGTTTCTAGCGTGCCCAAGGGACGCAACTCTGCACAGCGAATAGCAGCTCCTTAGACGACTGGGCCACCAGTGCCCTCTGCTTCATCAGTGAATAAACGACATGTCACATATGTATTCGTACATTAATGAATGCACATGTCACAAACTAACTCCATCATTTCCCAAAAAATGTCCCATGTTAATCAAGAGAGTTAACGAACGACATCAGACATAAAACCTACATGCCACATATAAATTCCTACATGAGTCAAAGAACGCCATGAAACATGCAAATGTATGTATTCAGAATGTATCCAATATCTTGCTCTCCATGAAATTTCCAAAAATATAATAGAATACTTAGAATACAGGCTACTGTATGTTGGTTATATCATTGCTGTCCCAACCTCTCTATTATACCCTGCGTTTTTCGAATCCTTTCCTGCCTCGTTGGATGTCAGTAATTGTCAATCTTAATGGTTCACCCGACTTTAACATGCTTGCATGATTGATGGTCCAGGCAGGTCAAACATTCTACATGCTTAACATCAGAATAATTCATTTCATGATACACCCTCAAGGAATTATTTCCAGGCGGAAACATCAACGCGACATATATTTATTGGAGTTGCAGATTGTATATAGAGATTATTATACAAGCATGTGTGTCATACTGATTTTACGAAACGAGTGTCAAAATTTTTGTATTTCCCCGCCCAGAGGTTTCTTAAAATCAATGTAACATACGTGCGAGTATAAAAATTTCTTTATTACCAATTTTTCGTTTTAGCTCCCCTTTAGAAAAATGCACTGGTCAAGACTGCCGTCTTAGAAAACCATTTGTCGAAAGACGTCTACAATCTTCAGTTATGACGTCGTTTCTTGTGTGACATCATTCCGACCTTACGTCTGAAAGGATTCGAATGACGTCAACAATGCTACCCACATGACGTAAGCAATACAATGATGCGCGAGCAGTGATATTTGAACTAATGCCAAACGAATTTTATTAACTCGGTTATTTCTAACCTTATGGGTATATTAATAATGTCAGTAACTAGTTCCTTTAAAGTTATATATTGCCCTTGGGATAAGAGCAACAAACGCAGTCCCTAGAACTACAGGTGTCGGATCTGGTTCAACAGAATCTACCGTTTATAAAGATGGTTGAGTTGGTTTTAACTTCGCTTCGAACAGTATGTCTTGAATACTTACCTCTGTACTGGAACTCACGATCAAATGCATGGTGAGTGAGTGAGTATGGTTTTACGCCGCTTTTAGCAATTTTTCAACATTGTACCCATTTCGTGAATCGGACCCGGGCCTTCGGCGTGACGAGCGAATGCTTTAACCAGTAGGCTACCCTCCCCCCCCCCCCCCCCAGCCGCGACTAACGGGATCGGGTGGTTCGCCTCGCTGAATTGGTTGATGCATGTCATGGTACCTAAATTGCGTGGATAGATACGTAGATGGATTGTCTGATCCATTATTTACATACCACCGTCATACAGCTGTAATATTTCTGAGGGCGGCGTTATACAACAAACAATAATTCATTTCATTAAAATGTCGTGCTGTTCTTCATAAAGCACAAACAGGAAGCAAGCACCGATTGATGTGTCATGATGACGCAGTGGTTCTCTGTCGGTTCTCTGTCCCAAGTGTTGAATATTGAAGCATCACGGATGAATAATGAAAATGTACTAAGCACGCCAGGTAAACGTTGAAAATGGCAATATGTAAATTAGAAGCAAATCCTGTGGAAATTTATGGGAAGGCCCTGACTGTACACCGCTTGTCGGGAGGGCGGCGACAGATAGCATTTGAAAAGGGGCGTACGTGTAAATGCGGATGTAACATTCAGTTATATATAGGGTCGGTATTCATCTGTCAGGACAGTCAAAAAAATGTCAGCGAGTAACTGGAAATACCTAAATATATTACACATTAATGTACATATCTTACCCTATATACAAATTCTGTAACATGTGCAAACGAAATGAGTTTTTCCCTGGTAAACGAAATGTATTTGTTTTTTCTGCCAGGATATATATCTGTACATGCAAGGTAAGTGTTTTATATCTGCTAGGGTACATGTAAGGTACGTGTTATAAACGATAATAGCCAGGTTTGACATGAACCGATTATATACAAACACTATGTAAACGCAAATATAAAATTCTTCAATGATCTCATAAAAGTAGACGTCACATTATTTGCTTTTAAATAAATTACAGAGGAATATATATATATATATATATATATATATATATATATATATATATATATATATATATATATATATATATATATACAATAAAATCAAATTTCTTAGAATACGCAGGTCTTATTAATTCCATAAAAACATATATGGATTCCAAATCTGTATCATTAGACAGACCAATTAAACAGCCATTCATTCCAAGTAATTTTAAAATTCTATATAAAGAAGAAAAGGGATGCAGACTAGTCTATGCCACATTATTTAACGAATATGCATTAAAAGAAAAAATACGGAGTCAATTAAAATCGGAAAATGATATTAACACAGAAATACCGGAAGACATTTGGAGGACTTACAACTATGTACAGCCATTTAGAACAACAAACAACACGAAGCGAAGATGCTTCCAATACCGTATTATTCACAGCATTCTTACAACAAATAAGACTTTTACAAATATAAATTCATAACTTTCTCACTTTTTTTCACGACAGAAAATGAAAGTCTCCCCCATTTACTATTTGAATGTACAGATGTAAAAATGTTTTGGCAGCACCTGGTTCAATTGATAGAGAATAGAACTGGTACTATACTGAATATAGATAAAAATCACATTATTTTTGGATTTTAAAGAGAAACAATTATGACGCCTTGAATTTAATTTATATTGCAACAAAGCCATATATCTACTTTAAAAAATGTTCACATTCTCTCCAAAATATTACCGAACTGAAAACATATGTCTTAAGCTTACATCATACGCGAATATATGTCTCATACACAAAATGTGAATACGAGAAATTTATGCCAGGGTCGTTATGCCACAACCTTTTTGCATAACCATACCGTATTTACACATTTGCCTATCCTACATGTATTTGGTCACAATAAATTAACTTCATATACTCATATTGACCAACATAATGTCCTACCTGTATCAAAGAAAAAAGAAATGAAGTGATTAAAAAAGTGCTATAAATCTGCCAGAGCACATGTAAGGTAAGTGTTATACATCCGCAAAGGTACATTTCTTTTTCTGACAGGGCACTTGAAAGGTAAGATCTGCCAGGGTACATGTAAGGTAAGATGTGCAGGGTACATGTAAGGTAAGATCTGCAGGGTACATGCAAGGTAAGATCTGCCAGGGTACATGTAAGGTAAGATCTGCCAGGGTACATGTAAGGTAAGATCTGCCAGGGTACATGTAAGGTTAGATCTGCCAGGGCACTTGAAAGGTAAGATCTGCAGGGTACATGTAAGGTAAGATCTGCCAGGGTACATGTAAGGTAAGATCTGCCAGGGTACATGTAAGGTAAGATCTGCCAGGGCACATGTAAGGTAAGATCTACCAGGGTACATGTAAGGTAAGATCTGCCAGGGTACATGTAAGGTAAGATCTGCAGGGTACATGTAAGGTAAGATCTACCAGGGTACATGTAAGGTAAGATCTGCCAGGGTGCATGTAAGGTAAGATCTGCCAGGGTACATGTAAGGTAAGATCTGCCAGAATACATGTAAGGTAAGATCTGCCAGGGCACATGTAAGGTAAGATCTACCAGGGTACATGTAAGGTAAGATCTGCAGGGTACATGTAAGGTAAGATCTGCCAGGGTACATGTAAGGTAAGATCTGCCAGGGTGCATGTAAGGTAAGATCTGCAAGGGTACATGTAAGGTAAGATCTACCAGGGTACATGTAAGGTAAGATCTGCCAGAATACATGTAAGGTAAGATCTGCCAGGGCACATGTAAGGTAAGATCTACCAGGGTACATGTAAGGTAAGATCTGCCAGGGTACATGTAAGGTAAGATCTACCAGGGTACATGTAAGGTAAGATCTGCAAGGGTACATGTAAGGTAAGATCTACCAGGGTACATGTAAGGTAAGATCTGCCAGAATACATGTAAGGTAAGATCTGCCAGGGCACATGTAAGGTAAGATCTACCAGGGTACATGTAAGGTAAGATCTGCAGGGTACATGTAAGGTAAGATCTACCAGGGTACATGTAAGGTAAGATCTGCCAGGGTACATGTAAGGTAGGATCTACCAGGGTACATGTAAGGTAGGATCTA